GCCCCAACACTTTGCCTTTCTAATCATGGTTTAAGGTCTAGTCTTGTGTGCAGTGGCTCTCGAACACTCCAGAGGACACATATCTTCTTCCATTATATCTCTCTTCTCTTTCCTCCTTCTCCCCTGAAGGCCAGGTACGAGAAGTGGTGGGTAGGTACAGTTCAGTGCTCTGTGAGATCAAAAGGAATGGACGATGGACTTACTAACTGGAATGGTGGCACCTACCTATGTTCCTGTTTTCAACTACCTTTACAACTGACAAAGTTGTGAGGACCAAATAAGAAAAGTGTTTTGAGACATTATAACCCCTCCTAAGTATGAGAGATTTTCAGTGACTTTGTTCTTTTAATAGGTGGTTGCTGCAGACTTTGTGGCTCTGTGGAACATTTTAAGAAAGATTGCCCTGAGAGTCAGAATTCAGGTGAGATCTCTTGGCCTCCATTAGAAGGCAAGGGATTAGTATTCTTTGTTTTTCTTGAATTTTTTTATGAAGAGTTCATTGAGGTACCACTGATTTTAAGGCAACCTGGTTTCCTACTACAGTGATGACTTAATCATTTCTCTGTCAGGAGTAGACACAATAGTATTAGCTGAGTGTTAGCTAGTATTATTAGGTGAGGAAAAAAAAGTGACCACTAAGTCCTAGAAGACCTTGATTTTATAAAGCATGGTATTCATAAACATTCATATTTGGCAACTAATGAATTTAATAATGGAGCCAATTCTGTTACTAAAAGAAAAATACTGATTCACTAATAGAAAATCAGAAATATGAAAATAACTCAGTATTTTTATGTTTACCATCCTCATATATGCTTTGCTTTGTGTATACCTGAAGGACTCAGAGTTGGTTGTAAAAACTGCCAAAAATATTAAAATTGTGTTAGGTACACTATCTGGCCAGATACATTTTCTTCCTAATGAAATACCCTTCATCACCAAAAACTTCATAAATGTTTGCTGTACCTATTGCAGATTTGGGGGCAAGTGGAGACCATTATTATATTAGTTTACCTAAATAAATAGAATGATGATAATCTTGAGCAAAAGAATGCAAGATAGGATATTATATTAGTTTACCTAAATAAATAGAATGATGATAATCTTGAGCAAAAGAATGCAAGATAGGATAGCAGTAGTCCTTCTTAAGGAAAAACACATTTCTTTTTATTTCAGATAGTCACAGTACTACCCAATAAGTCTGCCCATTCTTCCTACCCAAACACTTAAATTTGAAAACCAAGAGTTCTTGTTTATGATCTTGTCTAGAAGAAGACGATCTTCACTACATTGTAGCCAGTGAGACTGAAATAATGGAAGTGGAGTTTGAATTCTCCCTCCTGGGAGGATTGCCATTCCCAAATGACAAGACTGACAAGCAGATGTTGTATAATTTCACAGGTGGAATCTTGTGCATTTAAAACTGATGCTTCATAAGTCTCACTGTTTACAGATTCTTAGAATTCATTGACTCTATAATGATGAACTCTGGGAAAGAATGAAAGAGCTTTCTCATCAATTTCTGCATTGCAAAGCAGTTGTTGCATTTCCCTAATTGGGATGAGAAATTGCCTGTGGTACTCCAAAATCAAGTGTTATAATCAATTACAGAATTGCTCACTCTCCTTTAGTGATGGAGTCTTCCCTCCTTGTGATTATTCATGTCAAAACTAATTCCTTTGCTCAGCTAGTACCAATCTGGGTGGATGTATTTGATTACCATTTTTCTTACATTCTAACTTTCATTCCTTAACAGATCGAATGGTCACAGTTGGTCGCTGGGCAATGGGAATGAGTGCAGACTATGAAGAAATTTTGGATGTGCCTGAACCACAGAAGCCCAAAACAAAGATACCTAAAGTTGTTAATTTTTGATAATGATTAGTACTATCATTAGTTACCACCTCATTGTGAGCTACTCTGAACTGGGCCTACCTCACATACTGGAGCTGAGCTCCCTTGGAGACCTGTGTTGTAGACATCAGTATGATGTGCATATGGTCAGATAGTTTCCTGAGTGCTGTCCATTAAAGAGTGCCTCTATCACTGGAGAAAATCATTGAAGAAAAGTATAAGATTTTTAAATTGGATTCTCTAAAAGAATATTTTTAACAGGTAGAACTTAGGTATAACTAAGTGGTTACATACTTGATTGTAACAATCATCTTTTTCTTAAAAACTATGCATTAATGTAAACCACCCTTAAAGTATAACTTTTGTGTTTAGAAATGAAGTTTTGGTTATATTGTTTCTTGGTTCAATATATCAATTTATTATTATATTAGGAATTTATAAGTTGCCACAATACTGTATTTTTAAAATATTTAATTCAAAAATCATTTGCTATGTACTTATTTTTCTGAATACCTCATTCTGGATTGAACTAGCCATTGTCTGTTTATGTCCAGGTAATCCCTTTGGGAACACAATCTTTTTATGAATTCTAGATGAGATTAATTTTGGTTAATTTTTGTTTTAGTTTTGACATAAAGAAGCACAAATTATTGAGGTAACATAGAAGAATACGTTAACAACAGCTCCTTCTTTGTCCTGGATTTTCAAGAGTGAAATTCTAGCCAAAATTATTTTGGGGTATTTAACCAGAATGATGTTACTTAACAGATTGTATATCACACTTAATAGCATTTTGTTCATGTGTTTTAGATGAGTCTGGGTGAGATGCAGGTATCACCATAATAGAGTTAGAATGCTAATCAGAGACCGATTAGCTTCTTTGTTGGATTTTATGAATACATGCATACTTAATACATGTATTTCACAAGGCTAGGGCTCATATTGTAATGGAATGACTCTAGTGGATTGTGTGTTTCATTTGGAATTTTACCTGATTGGATACATTTGTAACTAAAGGAAACAGCTGTGATTAGTTACTGTAGCTTCAAAAGCAAAATATTTACCAAATAAGAAACACTTTTCTCTGTTTTAATGTCTGCAAAGCTCAACAGTTCTAGTCTTAATAGGAGCTGTTGTTTTATTTTTGGTGTGAGAGGTAAACATGACAGAATACAACTCAGCATCCCAGAATGTAAGGAAAGGAGTGTCGTTTAAAAGAAATCACACAAGTCTTGTAGCTGAAAAAGGATAGCAATGCTGCCTTAGTCATTTAGCCCAAACACACTCAGATTTATTTCACCTATCCTATCAGGTGTCAAGGACTCTGGCCAGTCAAAACCTGTCTCCAGTGAGGAAGGCAAGCATTAAATATTTCCCAAGTACCTGCTATATTCCTGGTACTCTCTTAGGCACTAGGGATTGTGACAGTGATGAAGACAAGGTCACATGCTTTCTAATGAGGCTTTAGGATGGAAAGGAGACTTGGGGAGAGATGCATATCAGAAATATCAGTATATCAGAAAAATATCAGATATTTTATTACACTTTAAAAATATTCTACTGAATCGCCTAAGACTTGGTCATTAATCACTCTTCCTTCAGTCCTTTGGAAATGTCACCTCTTACAAGCTTATCATTCACTTTTCTATGGCTGACTCCTAAATCCATCTGGCCCTAATATCCTCAATTACAGTTCCTACTTGGATGTTCCACCAATACCTCAAGTCATTACTGCAGTAATTTTCAAAACAATATAAACTCAAAGACCTATGACAGGCAGAGGTTGGAAGTGTCTCAATTGTAGGAGAGGTGTGAAATTTTACCATACAAAATTTTAGTTAAGTAACTCCATTATAGCTAATTTTTTTGCTTTTTAAAATCTAAAAATATTCTAAAAATTTTTTCTGCTTCTGAAATGTATAGGCATTTAAATCTACATATTCACCCTTAATGTATGTAAGTGTTAATTCATAAAATTGGAGCACAGTCCAAAGTTTATGTAAATGAAAACTTGCTGACACGGAATAAAACTAATTAACAACCAGACCTAGGCTGGGTGAGTGGATGGGTTGGGGAAGCGGGTAGGCTGGGGAAGCAGAGGTAGAGATCTGACATACAGCAGGATGTACCTAACCTCTTAAGTGCTCTAAACTCTAATGGAGAAGTCCTTCAACTTTTAAATGCTGTCTTGTAGAGGAGGCTAACTTGACATATGCTGGTTTGTCTTACGGGTTAAGACAAATCACAGAGTAGAGTAATGAATGCTGAAGTCTAGGGAATAAAGTGCTAATGTAATGGTTATGAAAGAAGAGCTCAGTTAATATTCTTTCTCTGCGACATCACATTGTGCAGGTACTTTTCTGTGTGTATATATAGCAATAGATACTAAATTGGCCAGCCACCTTGAATATATGTTAAATGACACTAGTAAAGTAGTTTCTATTACTAAAATTGATTGGATTCCATTATGTTTTAATGTCTTCCTAATTTAAAGCTCTAAACTATGTAATACATCTTGTCAGTTGCTCCTGACATACAGATATCCGCCATATATGGAATAATCCCACACTATTAATCACCTAGCCAACTTATCATTTTTTATTTTGTAAAATTTTGTACAATTTTATTTTTTTATTTTTTTTTTTTTATTTTTTTTTTTTCAACGTTTATTTATTTTTGGGACAGAGAGAGACAGAGCATGAACGGGGGAGGGGCAGAGAGAGAGGGAGACACAGAATCGGAAACAGGCTCCAGGCTCTGAGCCATCAGCCCAGAGCCTGACGCGGGGCTCGAACTCACAGACCGCGAGATCGTGACCTGGCTGAAGTCGGACGCTTAACCGACTGCGCCACCCAGGCGCCCCAAATTTTGTACAATTTTAAACAGAACACATGTTTCATCTCCATAGCCTAAACATGCTTATGATCATTTTAAACCATATTTGTACCATTTTACAGGACACACAAAATTGAACATGGGCAATTTCCACTGCCTGTGTCCCTGGAAGGAAGCAGAGCCACAGACAATATAAAACAGTTTTAAAGCTCTTTAAATAATGCTATCCAAATCACTGGTGTTTGACCTGAGATGAATTTTATTTTTTAACCCCTTCCTAACTGCATTTTGCTTCAGCCAATGTTAAATTACTTTGTGGCCCCAAAGCTTGCCAAAGTGTCAGGGCTAAGGGTACGTGGAATTGAGAGTGGTAAATAAAACTGGAAGTAAGTGACAGTTTACCATTTAAAATGTGTTTATCAACCCACCATCAGTAGCATTCTCTATGAATTTTATACAAGAGGCTGCTGTCTCTTCTATGGATTTTGACCAGCCACCAAGATTTCCAGCAAAGTAAGGAGAGATGCTAGCAGAAATCTGGTTGAAGTATGATACCTGTTTCAAAAAGAAAATACATTATTTTAATTATTTATTGACTTGGAGCTTCTTTCAGCAGGGATCTGAATCTTGTTGGTATAGGGAAGGCTATGACCCTAATCTTCTGGGGACTTTCTGGAATGATCTACAAGGATGACCTCAGGATTCCCCTGATGTGGACACATGACAGAATTTCAATTAATTAGGGAATGTGGGTAAAAAGCCTTCTCTCTATATCTGCAGTAGCAAATTCATTTGCAGATGTTCCATCAAACTTACGGTACAGGAGCTGCTGTCAATAGCACGGATGAGAAATCCAGCACATATGATTTCACTTCTGATGTAGTGTGGACAAGGGGGGACTGAAGGCAGAAGAACCGATTTCACTGCTACCGTGTAAGTGCTACTGAAAAATGAAAGGACGTTTTCTAAGTTATTGTGAGAGATTACAACAATTGTTAGAAAATAAATTTCTAGAGTTAATTAACCTTATGTACGTAGGTAAAAGTGAAACTATAGAGACCCAGATCTTCTAGATGAGGGATCTATATTCAAGTAGACTACATTCAAGTGTAGGAAAGGTAATAAGGGCCACAGGTGTTTTCTGCCTGTGTAAGAATTACTTAATACTTTGCGTAACTCTACAAAGTGGAATCAACTTCCAAGCATGCTTTATTATGTATGCCCTAATGAGTTGTAATTTCAGGCTCTTCTCTTTTTTTAATTAAAAAACAAAACAAAACAAAACCCATTGATTTAAAGGAACTTCACACAACAGAGAACCTTATAGACTAGAAAACAGTCTTCCTCAGTCCACCCTAGCCACAGTCCATTCTCATCCTGGAGATGACCACTGTTAATATTTTGCCCTGTAGCCTTCCGGACCTTTTTATAAATATATAACATTGATGTAAGCAAATGCAAATATAGATTTTTGCATAAATATTATCATTTAATAAATATCGGTCTATAGTTTGATTTTTCACCTAACAATAAATCTTTGGAGGTATTTCTGTATCAGCACCTCTATAGCTACTTCATCTTTTTTAATGATGGCAGGATGCCTGGGTGGCTCCGTTGGTTGAACAAGCGACTTTGGCTCAGGTCATGAACTCGCCCTTCCAGAGTTCCAGCCCTGCATTGCACTCTGTGCTGACAGCTCAGAGTCTGCAGCCTGTTTTGGATACCCTGTCTCCCTCTCTCTCTACCCCTGGGCTCCTCTGTCTCCCTCTCTGCCCCTCCCCCACTCATGCTCTGGTCTCTCAAAAATAAACATTTAAAAAAATGATGACATAGTACTCTGCAATATGGCTCTACCATAATTTATAAGATGGACCCTCAGTTTATGTCCATTTCTTTTTCCATAATAAATGGTACTATACTGAACATCCGTGTACATTAATAATATTCACACATGTTCAATTATTCTTATAGGCCCGCTTTCACATTGGAAATCATGCTGGCCAGTTCCAGGTGTAGACTTTAACTGTCCTGGAAGCTTCTACTTCTTATTTATTTGAACACTGACTCTTAGGACACTTCTCTTTAGAACACAGACATTGTGCCATGAAAAGTCCAATGCCCACAGAGAAGTCATGGACAAACACTCCGATCAACAGCCCTACCTAGCAGCCAGATATTTTGGATGTCTAGCACAATTGAGCCTTTCTAAATTCTAAACCTATTCCTAATGTTTTATTTGGTAGTCACATTGCATTCTTACTGATACTGGAAGGTTCCCAAGGTTTGCTAAATACCAATTTTACATGTGCATACAGCAAAAGGAAAGGAACTGCTTTAGGAATCTTGCACACAGGCAGCATTTAATAGGTGATGTTTTTAAATTTTTTTTTTCCAACGTTTATTTATTTTTGGGACAGAGAGAGACAGAGCATGAACAGGGGAGGGGCAGAGAGAGAAGGAGACACAGAATTGGAAACAGGCTCCAGGCTCTGAGCCATCAGCCCAGAGCCTGACGCGGGGCTCGAACCCACGGAAGGTGAGATCGTGACCTGGCTGAAGTCGGACGCTTAACTGACTGCGCCACCCAGGCGCCCCAATAGGTGATGTTTTTAAATGATAACTAAAGGTCCATCTAGAAAAAATTCAGATGCACATCATTCAAGATCAGAAATGCCTATATTGCCTTCTTTTCTTATCAACTTTTTCATTTTACCCTCTTCTATAAAACAATACGGCACTTGAATTGCATATACTCACCCATCTTTGAGAGGCCTTCTTCGTGATACAAGTACTACCAAGTCTTTGGGTTTGTCACCATTCACTATAGGACAAGTGATATAATATATCTGATCACCTTCACTCACCCAGTTTATGACTTCACAGGACCTACGTAAATACAACAGTGAAAGAAAGGCCACACTTTTCTACCTGCTTGAATAAGGCATTCGCTTCTTTTGTTTATTTGTAAAACTTCATTACTGAGGTCCACATTCACTCTTTGCTCACATAACTATCCTGCCAAAGCCAGCATTATTTCTCAAAGTCTGTCTTTAGAAAGCTGTTTGGTCAGCAGGAATAATTATGCGTGTGATGGAGAGACTGGTGGGTGTGTGATTCTAAAGTCACTGCCCTCAACACTTCAGAGAACAGCATTTATGGTTGTTTAACACAAAATAATTTTTCTCTAGAATCAGGTAACAATATTTGAAGACTAGTGAATTGTTTGGATGTCAAGGAAGGACTCAGGTAAATGAATATGGTACACTGGAAAGAGTACTAAGTTCAGAGCCAAACATCTTTGTCTTTGAATCCCATACACACACTTCATATCAATGTTATGTTAGGTAAGTCACTTTGTTTTTTTTCATTTGTAAAATTAAAACCCCATACCTATGGGGTTATTGTGAGGATTAAATGAAAACACCTGGCCTGAATCACAGTAGGTACACAAGACGAGTAAGCATTCATTCATTCATTCCTCCCTTCATTCAAGTTCAGTTTGGCTGGAATGTCAGGTGATATAGGAAATAGTAACACCAAAATTTAGGCATTGTTCTTGATAAAAGCTTTGTACCTACAGAATGTCTACAAATATTGATGCGAGAAAATCATGAAATATTTCCTCTTCTCTCAGAATGTTTTATCATGATAGCATTAACCATGAAGTATTATTCTGGCATCTATGCAAATGTAACACATGACCCCAAAGGTGTTTCACTTTAGGGATACTACATTGCCTCTTACATGGTATTAATCATAATCCGGTTTAGGCATTTTATTTTATTTTAAAGTTTATTTTTGGGAGCGAGAGAGCAAGCAGGGGAGGAGCAGAGAGAGAGAAAGAGAGAGAGAGAATCCCAAGCAGGTTCCATGCTGTCAGTGCAGAGCCCAATGTGGGGCTTGAACCCAAGAATCATGAGATCATGACCTGAGCCAAGATCAAGAGCTGGACATTTAACCGACTGAGCCATCCAGGTGTCCCAGGTTTAGCCATTTTATTTTATTTTTAAATGTCTTCTTTGTTTTTGAGAGAGAGAGAGAGAGAGAGAGAGAGAGAGAGAGAGAGAACAAGTGGGGGAGGGGCAGAAAGAGAAGGGAACAGAGGATCCGAAGTAGGCTCTGTGCTGAGAGCAGAGAGCTTGCTGTGGGGCTCGAACTCATGAACCCTGAAATCATGACCTGAGCCAAAGTCAGATGCTTAGCTGACTGAGCCACCCCAGTGCCCCCAAGGTTTAGTCATTTTAAAAATGAGCTTCTACTTCATCAAGATGAGGAAGTAAATGGTAACGTTTAATAAATAGGAAGCCCATCTCACCAATCCTTCCCTTTCAGCAAGATGCCCAGTGAGGCCCTAGAGTGCTATATGTAGCCCCAGGAGCTGGAACTTCTTGGAGGAGGGGGTGTGGCCTGAGTGTGATCAGATCCAGTCAGTGCAGGTGCCTTGCAATCCAGGAAAGGAGCAAGAATGGAAGAGGCTGGATTGGGATGCAGGAGACAGAAAGTAACAGAAGGAAGAGACTGAGGCTGACAGTGGGCCCTGATCAGACAGGAAAAGCTGGCAGGAATGCCTTTGACTTCAGTTACTCACACAGCTTCGTCTCAGCTTCTCACCAGGGAGTGCTGCTTCACAGAAAAAGAAGGAACCGCTAATTAAATATCCAGAGTGGAAAGTGGGAAGACAATTAGGTAATCACTTTCTCAAGTACACTGAAGCTGTGTGCAAGCGTGTGGAATTCAAAGCCTGATGGATCTGGGTTCCAATTTGGGTTCTGTTGCTTTCCTGCCTGTGCAATCTTGGCAAGTCTCAGAACCTCTCTCGTTGAGTGGGAATAATATCAAACTTGAAGAGTTTTTTGGGAGGAGTACAACAGATGTGGGTAAAGCACATTAACTCAATATAAACGCTAAACGAAGTATTAAGAAAATTTTTGTTTTTACGTCTCTCAGTAGCACTTGATGCAGTTTTCTGTGCAGGGCAAGTTTTAAAACATACTTTTTAATTAATAAGCAATGGGTCATACACTGGGCAATGGAGATGGACTGCAACATGGAGGTCATCTTTTACATGAAGTCAGGGTTGCTTAAGAAAATACTTTAAATGTATTCTTACACGGGAACCCTCTTGCACTGTTGGTGGGAATGCAAACTGGTGCAGCCACTCTGGAAAGCAGTGTGGAGGTTCCTCAGAAAATTAAAAATAGACCTACCCTATGACCCAGCAATAGCACTGCTAGGAATTTATCCAAGGGACACAGGAGTACTGATGCATAGGGGCACTTGTACCCCAATGTTCATAGCAGCACTCTCAACAATAGCCAAATTATGGAAAGAGCCTAAATGTCCATCAACTGATGAATGGATAAAGAAATTGTGGTTTATATACACAATGGAATACTACATGGCAATGAGAAAAAATGAAATATGGCCTTTTGTAGCAACGTGGATGGAACTGGAGAGTGTGATGCTAAGTGAAATAAGCCATACAGAGAAAGACAGATACCATATGGTTTCACTCTTATGTGGATCCTGAGAAACTTAACAGGAACCCATGGGGGAGGGGAAGGGAAAAAAAAAAAAAAAGAGGTTAGAGTGGGAGAGAGCCAAAGCATAAGAGACTGTTGAGAACTGAGAACAAACTAAGGGTTGATGGGGGGTGGGAGGGAGGAGAGGGTGGGTGATGGGTATTGAGGAGGGCACCTTTTGGGATGAGCACTGGGTTTTGTATGGAAACCAATTTGACAATAAATTTCATATATAAATAAAAAAAAAAGAAAAAACAAAGTAACAATCAAAACAGATAACTTAATCAAATAATCTACACTTTTTCAATGCATGGTTATATTAACATAATAAAGATATTACATTTATAAAAAATAAATAAATAAATAAATAAATAAATAAATAAATAAATGTATTCTTACATGAAATGAGGGTCCCACAAAGGTCTCTTGGTAAAGTCAGAAAGGAGATGGTAAGTCAAGTGTGCTGGTCTTTCCACATGCTTTTCAACCCAAACAGATAAAAGGTCATGCTCTTCCAGGGTATATATTTTTATCTAAAATATAATAACAAAAAATAAATTACAAAATAAAAATGGATGTTTTCACTTTAAACACCACTCACAGTCACAGGCTGATTGTGCTGGCTAAGGCATCTTGGCACCTGAATAACAATGAAGCCAAATGATGGCAATTTCCCTTCAAATACTTGGATGTCTGGAGCTTGGACCACGGTGATATCCTCTGTGCCCTCTAAACAATATGTGACAGGTTCATTATTGTGCCACAGTCTTCTCTAGAAAAATAAAGAATGTAAGCATTTCTCTTTTTATCTCTTTGAGATATTTCCCTGACTCAAATAACGACAGAAAATATCACCAGGCTGATAGGCAACTCAGTGTTTCATCTCCCTTCAGACACCTTAGACACTTTCCCAGGTTGTCAGGCATGCCAACGGGTCCCAGAAAGTAAGCCACCACTTCTAGAACCAACTCAACCTTGCAAAGGGTTGAAAGCACCATGCTTCTTCAGCACAAAGCATTCTTTCAATTGTGAATCACAAGGGCTCATCTTCCTGAGAGCCAATTCCTGGGTTTCTAACGTTGTTATGCCCTTAGATAAGAGGAGGCCTGTCTTGGGGAGCCATTTGACACATACTTAAAACAATACATATCCCCTATTACTCCAAACTCTCCTGCCATTGCACTTTCGATAATAATCAGAGATATGTGCTCAGCTAAGAGCACATTTCTGTCCTGCCCATTTTCTCCATCTCTTTCAGGGTGCTTTGAAGTTGGTGTTGAAATGTGCCATCTTATAATCATCCCCATGGCAACAAGCTGTGAGAAGACAAACAAACAGAGGGTTAAGACTTCACTGCAAGAATCAAGCAGATGGACAAGTCAGGCTGTGAGGGAGAAAACCTTTATTTAAACATAAATATCTTCAAGAGAATGAAGAAGTAAGAAACAGACTAAAAGCAGATTAGAAAGAAAGGGAGTATCAATTTGTTTACACATGTTAACTGTCCAGTTAGTTAACCTTTGTGCAAAGACCATCTTTAAATCAAGCCCACAGAGGAGGACATGGCCTGGGCCATAGACACGTGAAACAGAAAGCCATGAATGCAGTTCCAGTGGGGGGCTGAGACTCACCCCAAAATGGCCATGCCTAACTTCGCTCCCCATACAGAGGAAGTAAAAGGAGGTTCCCTGGTGTAAATCCAGAAGGAAGTTATCTTATCAAAACTTGGTGGCCATGTGGCTCTAAGCCAGGTTTCTGGGTTCTATAGTCTCAGAGGGGGCAAGGGTAGGTGGCCAGGGTAAGTTCCTCACCTTCTGTCAGAATCAGACTTTGGGGCAGCCATAGTCTACACTGATGGAAGCAGTATGGAAAAGGATGTAATATTGGGCTAAGCACTTGCCAAGGGTTGAATTGTGTCTCCTCAAATTCATATGTTAAAATTCTCCCAGTACTTTAGAATGTGACCTTATTTGGAAACAGGGTCATTGCAGATATAATTAGTTAAGATGAGGTTATACTGCAGTAGGATGGCCCCTAATCCAATAATGACTGATGTTCTTATAAAAAGGGGAATTTTGGATGCAGACATGCACACTGGGAGAACGCCATATGAAGATGAAGGCAGAAATCAGGTGACACATTTACAAGCCAAGGAACACCAAAGATTGCCAGCAAACCACCAGAAGCTACAAGAGAGGCGTGGAACAGATTCTTTCTCACTTCTTCAGAAGGAATTAATCCTGCCAGCACCTTGAACTCAAACTTCCAGCTTCCATAACTGCGAGGCAATACATTTCTGTTGTTTAGGCCACCCATTCTGTGGTACTGTTACAGGAGCCCTAGGAAATGATCACAGTACTTTTTCAGGAAGCTGCTCCCCAGGTCACAGACACATACTGCTGCTTTCTATCCTGGAGCCAAGGCAAACACCAAGCTGAATAGCCACCATGAAACTGCCTCACACAGCTTGCTACGCTTATCCAGTGCTGAGTACATTATCAGATGAGGGAATGATATTTTGATCGTTCTCCCAGAAGATGAAGGGAGCAGGAAGTCCTGCTCACTGCTGTGCTGTGGGAACCCATGACACTGATGTAGACAGAGCAGACGAGTAAAGGCAGCTGTTGGTGTTGATCTCTTTAAACCCTAGTATTTTAGAAAAGCCAACTTCTGCTTAGTGAAAAAATTCTCTAAGACCAACTCTTCAAGAAAACATGTTCTCTTTCATGCTCAGAAGAGTACAGGTTAAATTCCATCTGGAACCAACTCAAACATTTTATCACTTGACGTCTGGCGAATTTTATTCTATGAAACAAAGCTGAAAGTAAATAAGCTCAAAATTGCTAACATTTTATAATGATATTGCTTTTTCATTCTAGTAAGATTCCGCTTAATGGATTTGGATATCTTATACAAACAGCACAGGAGGAAAGAGTATAATTTTAGAATTTTATACTATCTGTTGACCAATATGCTATGGAGACAACATTGTGGAAAGGAGAACAAAACTGGTTTTTACAGAGGCCTCTGTGGTGAGAGGAAGTGACCTGACCTTCCCTGGGAACCCCCAGGGGCGAAGGGGAGGAGAACTGGTCAGGGGGAGCTGTGAGACCCGGACTCTCCCCAGATTCAGTCAGAATAGCTCCTCTGGTCTGTTTCCTGTACTTGGCTTTGTTCTGCGTAAAGGTTGCAAAGTAGTCCTTGCCATTCTGGCTTTCATCACAGCCTTTCCAGTACACTCTCAGCTGCCCCCTAAATAAAAGGCTACTCCAGTCAGGTCAGTCTCCTACCCATGCTGATTTCTACCACGACAACTGGAATCATACTCCTCATTGCCTAGAGAGCCCCCTTCACCCTCCAGCAATCTACTTACACCATCTTCAAGGAGAAAAGAATCACCCCCTCTCCAAAGTCCTCTGGAAATAACTGTCTTGCTTTACTTTGTTGAAGTGCCTAAGAGCTGACCTTTATGATTTAAATATTATAATCTCTCACTTGTTTATAAACCACCTTAAAGTTACTCTTCAGCTGTTCCATGTGTATGTGTGATGTTACCCAAATAGACTGCAACTACAAGCTCCTTTCAGGTGAGAGTACACATTTTGATCCTTGTATTACTATACTATGATTAATTCCACGATCATACATACAAATGAAATATGAGTTAAAGAATAAGTACTGCCCAATTACAGATATCAAAAATCTTACTTTTTCCATTTAACTAATTTGTATCAAAAATAAGTACAGACTTTAAGCCCTGAAATAAATATGACTCCTAACACATAATTGGAAGAATTATTCAACTAAAAGGTGACAGAAAAAAGTAAGAGAGCTGTATTTTAAAATTAAAAGGATACAAACACTTTAAAAAGTAGGAGAGAAGAGGAGGGTAACTCAGAAAGGAAAAAAAATCAAATTTTTATCATAAATACAATCTAAAGAATTGGAGGGCTTCAAATTCAACAGAAATGACATAAGAATGTTGCTTTAATTACATAATATCTTCTAAAGTATCCACACAAAAATTAAGAATTAATTATTGGTGGCTCTCCTTAGATATGAGCCAATACACCATTTATTACTTTAGATTTATTTCTGGCCCCAAACTCCCAAAGAACTCAAGTTTTTATATATTATATGATTTCACAAAATGTGCGCTCTTCCTTCATTCCAGACACAAGTCTGCCCTTTCCAACACTGCTTAGATGCCAGCAATGATGCAAGAAACAGACTGCATGTTAGTAAAAGAAAACAAAGCCTTAAAGCATCTTTTATGTGGGATAAAGAGAAGATCATTTTATTACGTTTAACCTGTGTTTCTGCATCACTGAATTTGGTATACATGGAAACCTAACTGGATCCAAACAGGGTAAGAGAGACCCTGATAGGATTCAGAAGAAAAGATAAAAACACACTAAAAGCCAACAAACCAGAACAAAACACTGACAAAAGGTCAAGGTGAAAACAATCATTAAAGTAGCATCTCAGTTTCCTTCAATTTTAGGGTAAGTGACCATATAATTTATTGCCCAAACTGGGCACTGAGGCATTATCAATATTTATGACAAGACATCAGATGATGATGGAACAATCACCAATTATGATGGACAACCAGGAATATGGTCACCCCTCTGGTAGGTGCTGCTGCTTCACTGATGCTGAACAAGAGTACACACTGAAATATGAGCACAAAGAACTGGCATTACTGAGCCTGTCCTGAGTGCCCGGCACTGCTATGTTCTGGGACCATCTACAGCGGTGAGCTAAATGCCCACAGAGACCTTACAGTCTAGTCTAGTTGTGGGCATCAGCTTCAAAGGGTCTCCTAACCACTTCTGAAATGAGATAAAATTAGAATCCAAATTATATATGTTTACTTAAATTTGATGACCTGCAAAATAGTATAAAAGGTGCTAAGAGAGACACAAAGACGTCAAGACAAGGCTTCTTTCTTCAAAAGTTCATAATCTTGTTAGGGAAAAAGGCCATGTGTAAAAAGTTAAATTACTATGTAAGACATCAACATCAATTCAACGAAGCAGTGGAAGCACTGTCACAAGACAGGGCATAATTGATTGACAAATTAATTTTGAAAAAGTAATTGCTAAGGGGGTTCCTCCAGGGAAGTTCCTTCAGTCAGGATGATAGGAATTGGCTTTGTGCAGAAAGCATTTGTCCTGGTCTTGAAGACCAGGTTGGACTGAGGCAGATGGAGAGGAGAAAGAGAGAGGAGTGGAATATGACAACTAAGTTCAGAGGCAGGAATGTGTGGGGCAGCCTGGAGGACCACAAATCAACCGGCACGGAGCAGTAGATTCAGCCCTGGAAAGATACCTGCCTCTTAGAAATAGCTTCCCAGAAAGACTTTTTACCTTCTTAAAAGCAGCAGTAGAAGCAGAACCACCACCAGCAGCATGACAACTTTCATTTGTGATGGACAGCAGGTTGTACATAGACCTGGATGCCTCCTACCTTTTCCACAGCACTGGTAACCTCCCAGCCACTCTTGGCTGCCAGATTTTTGAGAGCCTCCACATTGGCATTACTCAGGGATACCTAAAACACAAATATCGTAAAAGCTGAGAGTTCGGTCCACAGATATGTGATCAAACAGTTTCTGCTTAGAAAACGGGAACTGTTAGAGCCAAAGTGATAATGCTAATCTCAGAACCAAGCTGTCGGTAACATAATTTGTCTCAAACACTTAATTCAGAATTCAGACAAAATAAAATGAGGCCTGCATGCTTAGCAAATTAGTATCATTTTAATTGGTGTCCTGAGCAAAGACAACATAACCTTTCAGTATGACTTATAATCAACATGTAATCAGTAAACTTGGATCTCCTTTTATAATTTATGGTCAAAAACTTTAAAATGACTAATACTTTGTTGTTGTGTTATAAAAATGCAAGCCGGAAGGCATGTCTTTTCAGCACAAATTATGGAGAGACACCGTATCTCAGTGTCATGCTGCTTGAATGCATTTGATGGCAGATCATTCTGAGTCTGTAGTTTGGAAACTGTACATGTAATTCAGACAGGGCACGGAAACTACTAGTTGGTAACCACTTACTAATAGTTTGGTTTTATTCTGAGATGATTGGCTGATATAATTTACCTTTTCATCTAACTTGTATAGGCACAACCTGAAGCAGTTAAACATGGGAACTTTCATGTTTATAATGATACCATTTTCCCTTTTTACACGAAAAGCTCCAAATCATAAAACGGTTACCTGGTTGCTTATGTCCCATTGTACACAAACTGGCACTTCTTCTTTGTGGGAAGTAACATATTTTCTGGAAAAAAATTAAAATGTTACTTAACATGTTATAATAATGTTATAATAATAAAGTTTTCTTCCCTGCATTTGGCACACAACAGTCACCATGACACTTTCTTGAACTGAAATCAGCAGTTTTAAAAGCTACTTTTACTAGTGGAACAATCAAGAAAAAAAAAATCTGTCACAGTTAGCCTCCAAGTCAGAAAATATCAGACTGTCTCATGTTACATTATGTGGGAACAGACACCTAGAGAGGGGCCCTTTGCTGTATAATTTGTTAGATAAGAGAACATAGCCTCAAATCCTTATGCCCACATCCCTTACCTGCCTAGGCGAATTCTCTTGCGTGCAATAGCTCCACGATACCGTCTAAAATCATCCTTTAATAAAAAACAAATTAAAATCAATACATTTCTAATTTAATGGTACAATCCTTAAGTGTCTCTCTCTGAATTCAGTTGAAGGGGCTAGTTGGAACACACATGGTGTCTCTGTGTGAACTATACTCAACACCCACAAAGGGCAAGTGCACGGATAAAGACAACCTTTGCAGCCTGTTTTTTTTCCCCTTTTTTAAAGTGGTGACTGTTATCATTTCTGTTATCAGAATTATACATCTATCTCACTATACAGTTTTTAGAAAAGGTGAGGGTGGGCAGCAAGGCCACTCTCAGATAGGGAGAAGATACAGTTCCATTGCATGTAGAGAACCATGGAGAGCTGGAGTAAAGAAGTGGGAGAAGAGAGTCAGAAATAGGACACGGAAGATGATGTTCTTCCCACAGCAGCACATAGCGGAACAGAAGTGAGGTCTCTAGGGCCTCTATCATTCTAACAAATGATGAGAGTGATCGGGGGTGGGCAGGGGGAGAAAAAGTCCATTTTACTTTGTAATGTAAAAAAGAAAAAAAATCTAAAGAGGAATAGCCTTGGAAGTTGTTGCTGGTGTGGGGAGATTCTGGGTAGAGCTCTGCAACCCACCACTTCCCCCAGAATAAGTGGTCTGATTAATGAACTCACGTGCTGATAACTGACCTTTGATATGGGTTTGATTCTGGGAAATGTGACCATTTCTTCCTTATCATTGACAGCATTATAAATGAGAAAAGCACTGTTGATGTGACGGCCTTGGCCCTTAGACCACTCCTGACAGTCAAAGGCTTCCACGCGCACTCCCACTTCAACACTGCAGAGGGCGACACAGAGCTGTGGGCAGAGAACCAGAGCCTGCCAGGCCTCCTCTGCCCACACAGCCACCACCGCTTCTGAGGGAGGAAAAGAATGAGGGTTCTGGGCTTTTCTTTTTGTCATCGCAAATGCATGCAACTGTTAAAATCCATTTCATCAGAGTGATGAATCTGATGCAGAAGCCCCTGGGAGAACTCCCACTTCACTTTCCCACCAAGTGGGAAAAAGGCCAGTTAGGAAGGACTTTCTATACCTTCATGAACATATTTTGATAATGGGGAATGGGGGAGTTGATAGTGCCAAAGTCAAGTTTTCTCCCCTAAACCTAACAGTTCCATATTTAAAAGCATCAAACACTAAAATTGGATAGGAAACATACTCTTTTTCACATTTTAAAAGACTTAAGGCAATTAAATCTTTTCATTGTGTATCAAGAAAAACATAACTGGGAAGTGGTTCGGGCTTCATGGTGATAAATAACAGGTTCATTAGGAGTCAGCTGACCATAAAGTCACTGGGACTCTTCTGAGAGTGAAAAAAAGAGTAATAATTATGACAGGTACACACCAAGATGGTACTGGGTTAACTGTACCCTTATTATGAGACAAAAACCAACCCATCACAATTTACTAAGTGCAAAGAGCCTCCAAGAAGAAAACAGAGTTAAAATGAGTTGTCTATAGATGTTGAAGATGAGTGAAGTTAAAAAAAAAATTAGAAGGAACTTGGTTATTTTAAAGTAGTCCCTACACTTACCTCTACACTGAAATAAGAAAATTTATTCATTTGCAAGTTTGAATTTGTCCACAGCAGGCTAAGAGCACTAAAAATGCTTTACCAGGTCTGAAATGTATTGTTGACAATGGCATTGAAAACAAGACGATCTCCAACAGCAGATGGTCCCCGAAACTTAAACATGTCCACGGACTTTAGAAGGGGGTGTGCCCTACAGAGGCGGCTGATGAAACAAAGGGAAGAGAGAGAGGAGAAAGAGGTCACTCTTCAAAGTATTTTCATGAACTGCTAATTTGCGTAACAAATGCAACGGACAAATACTTCTTTTTTTTTAAATGTTTTTTAATTGTTTGTTTATATTTTGAGAGAGAGAGAGAGAGAGAGCAGAAGAGGAACAGAGAGAGACGGAGAGAGAGAGAATCTGAAGTAGGCTCCAGGCTCTGAGCTGTCAGCACAGAGCCCGACTCGGAGCTTGAACTCACAAGCCCTGAGTTCATGACCTGAGTCAAAGTTGGACGCTTAACTGACTGAGCTACCCAGGAGCCCCTCAGTGTGTTTTCTAAATAAACATCTTTTAACTCTTGTAAGAATGAAATAAGTACATTACATAAGTTGAGAGTGGGTCTGTACAATCCCTGCAAACATTTTTGGAAATACTATGTCCCCGAGCTGGAGGGTCTTTACTGAGATGCTTGGTGCTTCTGCTCTTGTGGTGACAGTCATGCTCTTGTTTTGTTCCCTATCTCAGTCCCTCTGAAAAACAAACCAAGGTCTTCTGTCCTCATTTGAGGGTTCTATTCATCCTGACAGCTCATGGCCACAATCACAGGAAGTTGTAACTCTCAGGTTGGAGGGGAGCACAGTGAAGGAACTACCAGCTAGTGCTATTCACACCAGTTTCTTAGCTTCAACTGAATTCACTCACATATCAAAAGACTCATATTTTTTTCTATTGGAAAATTACCTAGATTGCTACACAAAGCCTGAAAGGCTACAAGGTACACATTTTACAATTTTGTGTGTGTGTGTGAAATTTTGAAATTTTGTAAAGTATGTTTAATCTCAGAAAGTTACTTTGGTAATTTTCTACATTTTAGATCCCCATGGTAGTCATTCAATTACTCAAAGGAATTGTGCCAACACTATGTGAACAGATTCTGTCACAGTTAATTATATTGTAAGCCTTACAAAAGAACAGGTTCAAATTCTTTATTGCCATTGAGAACGACAATCTCATTTTAAAAACAAGCTCTCTTATTTGCGCATAATTTATAGGAAGGATTACTACAGGTTTCTAACTATGGTCACAATTATAGACATACTCATCATAAAATTCTTTTCATTTTGGGAAAATAAAATCTTAACAATGTTCCATGGTTACAAGATTGTCAGTAGGGCAATTCCTGTTCAAATGCATTTTCCGAATACACAGTGTTCCTTAAAACTGCTCAACTGCCTACATGGTTCCATTAATAATAAAATACCTTTTTTGAAACTGAGGAGTACTTAAAAGTATTCTTTCAAGTTCCTCTCTTTGTTATCTTATTTTTCAGTTAATCCTTTGGCCATAATGATTCTAACCAGCACCTTCAAAGGTCAAACCAAATTGTAAAGTGTCTTTAAAAAAGTTTGCAATTTGAGTATTTTTAAGTGTAAAGGTCGTCTTCCATTTCTATTCTGCATCCACCATGTCATAACTATCATTACAAGAAGCTGCAGCGTTACAAGATCAACATTTACAATTCAGAATAAAGTACTAGAACTGTCATTTTATTTTTATTTTTGAGCCAAGAACATAAACATTCACCTTTAAACAAAAGGGCAGATTAGGAGCACCTGATTGGCTCAGCAGGTTAAGTGGCCGACTCTTGGTTTCAGCTCAGGTCATAATCTCCTGGTTTGTTGAGTTGGAGCCCCACACCCAGCTCCACATGCAGAGCCCGCTTGGGATTCCCTCTCTTTTATTCTCTCTCTCTCTCTCTCCCTCCCTCTCTCTGCCCATTCTTTGCTCATGCTCTGTCTCTCTCTCTCTCAAAATAAATAAACTAAAAAAATGAAAAAAAAAAGACAGATTAATCCTAAGGTAAACAGATAAATGACTTATTTTCTCATTTTAATAAATGCCAACACTCTCCTCTCCTTCTCTCCTAGCTCAATAACCAGGACTCAGACCCTTTCTGATCTCTCCCCACTGGACACAACATCACACACCAAAAGTCAAAACCAAGAACCTTGCAGAAATAGTAGCCAGACTCTCCATCCAAGCCATAATTTGGCCACCAAATGTATTTCCATGATGGTTTGCATGGGGTGGGAGGACAAGTTCAATGCTCTGAACAGCGGTGCCACCTGTAGAAACCATTCCTTCCTCTTCATCACAAATGGGATCTGAAGGAGGGATGCAGACATTAATATTGGTGGAATTAACTGCACAAACTGGGACTACTATTTTTCCTTCCTAGCTGTACCCTTAACTCATGGGATTTTTAGAAAAATTAAATTATTCCTGAAGACTTAAATCTCCTGAGGAAATAAACAGGTTTGATTCTAAAGAGTGACCTTCATGAATTCCAGGGAATTGGATAGCTGATTAGAAAGGCCCTTTTAACGTTTATTTATTTTTGGGACAGAGAGAGACAGAGCATGAATGGGGGAGGGGCAGAGAGAGAGGGAGACACAGAATCGGAAACAGGCTCCAGGCTCCGAGCCATCAGCCCAGAGCCTGACACGGGGCTCAAACTCACGGACTGTGAGATCGTGACCTGGCTGAAGTCGGACGCTTAACCGACTGCGCCACCCAGGCGCCCCTAGAAAGGCCCTTTTAGAGATTGCATTCCAATCTATCATACAAGTTCATTGGAATTTTGATTAAAATAATGATTAAATTTAAACTTGAGTTGTTTGGAGTGGAGAAGGGGCAGATCAGTGTGGGGAAAGTCAGAAAGAAATTTGGGGGTTGATGGTATGTTACTATATTGATTGTGGTGATGGTTTTATGGGTGTACACGGCTCAAAACAAACTGTATACTTCATGAGCACATGAATTTAGGGTATACCAGTTATTATTTATAATTATAATAATTATTATGTTATTTATAACTGCATTATGTATGCATAATATTATTTATGGTGCATCAATTATACCTCAATAAAGTTGTTAAAATGAAAGGACTTTGAGCTATAAAGGGCCAAAGATACAGAAAATCTGGAATAGTTTGCTCTAGTATAAACTTCAGAATGGGAATGTGGCCTCCATAGTTACTGTTTTGCAATGAATGCAGTCACGAACAGAAATGGCACAATGAGTTGTACTTCTCAGTGTCCTTCTGCTTCCTTCGAATCATATCTGCTTCATTTACTGACAAATTGGTTTTTACTCTCAACAATGGAAAAATCATTTACTCTGGCTGCAAAGCAGTAAAATGTATTCAATTATGCGTCTTGCATCATCTAGTGAATCAACAGCTAGGCCTAAATCTTGTGTGGCTTTGTTGAGGAAGTAGAGGGAGGATTTACAAATCGGGGACCATCCCGGTTGTCCTGTCAGAGGCAGAGCTGAGCTTGCAGCCCAAGAGCATAGATTAGGCAGCTGTTGGGAACTGGGAATGGGGCCATTCTTGGCACAGTCACACATAAGTGAGCAGAGAAGTGTGGCTACAAAGACCTGAACTGCATTTCCTCATGAAATTTTTAGATTTATAATTAATTGATGGTCTTTTAATTTTTTTCCCCTTCATTTCACTGATCATTTCAGTCTCCTACTTGAAAACATGTCAGAAACTTCCAAAAACACCCTAGTACAAAAGCCCAGGGGCGCTTGGGTGGCTCAGTTGGTTAAGTGGCTGGCTTCAGCTCAGGTCATGATCTCAAAGGCTCTGATTTCAGGCCCCACATTGGGCTCTGTGCTGACAACTCAGAGCTTAGAGCCTGCTTTAGATTCTGTGTCTCCTTCTCTCTCAGTCCCTCCCCCACTCACACTCTGTCTCTGTCTCAAAAATAATTAAAACATTAAAACTAAATGAAAAATAAATAAAAGCCCAAATCCTTCCCTTGGCTAGGGAAGTCCTTCCTTCCTTGTCTGGTCTGTCTACTTCTCCAGTCCCAGCGAGTCTGATTGCGACTACTACCACTCTCCTCCTATCATATTCTCTTTCACTCTCTCTCTTTGTTCTAGCTATGAGGGCCTTTTTTCAGTCCTATAACTAAGTACTGTCTTCAACATCAGGGAATTTGCACATATTGTTTGCTCTATCAGCAGGACTATCACATTCTTCCACTTATCTCTTATCCCCTATTTTTATAGGGGAGCAAATTTTGCCACCTCAAGATATGCCTCTTTGGCATGTTGCTTCTTTTAGGCTTATTATTTTAAGAAACCATAGAGAAGCTCTGAAAAAGAAATTACCCTTTGGTAAGAGACATTTATGTGTATAAGAAAAATCTCTATTTGTAAGCATATTTACCTTGCTGTACCAGAAAGAGGGGGATGACTGTAAATCTAGAAACTTACCAGAGAAGACAATGATTTAAATCTACAAAATAACCTTATCCTTGTTTACTGTGCTTTCCTCGGTAACCTCCCATAACTGACCCACCACCCCCAATATCATCTCTTGTCTTTGGCTTTGCCATTTCAATGAGTTACTCATTTTTTTCTGGATCTCTCCCATGTATATAGGCAGTATCCTGTAATTAAACTTTTGTTTGATTTTCTCCTGTTAATGTCTCATGACAATTTAATTCCCAGACCAGCTAGAAGAAGCTTATAAAGTAAAACTTTTCCACCTCAACACTATGTTGGCTCATCTCAGTCAACACTTCCTCAGGAAAGCCTTCCAGATCTAACAGCTAATTCCCATTTATGAGCTCACACATGCATCTTTATTTTATAACTATACTTTTATTTTTCTTTGTGTGATCTTTGACCCGCTAGATCCGAAGCTCCTTTGGACAAGAACTGATTTTCTTTTTAAATTCTAATATAATTCCTTAATATGAGCACTCAGTAAATATTTATTGAATGAATGAATGAATGAATGAACTTAATTTTGCTGATTTATTCCACATTCATAGTCCCTGCTTTCAACAGAATTTTCTAGGTAACAAAGTGTACCAATGTACACTTTTGTATGTTGTTTAGTAGAGTTCCTACTGCTTTGCATTTTCACTTAAACAATACTGTAGACTCTTCAAATTTTTCCAGTTTTGTGGGTGTGAAATATCTTATGTTGGTTATAATTTGGATTTCCCTGATTAATGTGGTCCATCATCTTTTCATATGGATACCAAACTTTCTTGTTACCTCTGAATGAAATGTCTATGTCATTTGCTTCAAATGCTATTTTTCTCCCATTCTTCTATCCTTTCTTTCTGGAACTCTGATTAGATGCATGTTAGACTTCTTACTCCTTTCTATATGTCTCCAAATCTTTCATATATTTCCCAATTCTTTGCCCATCCATCTGCATTCTAGGTAACTCCTTCAGATCTATCTTCCAGTTACTGTCTTATCTGCTGTTCAATTCATTCATTGAGTTTTAAATTTAAATTATTATATATATTTTTGTATAGAAATTCTCTTTGTCAAATCTTCTAGGTAATTTTTTTAATTCCTGAATAATACTTTTGATTCTATTTCTTTAAAATATATTAACGTTTTTACTTCAACATTCTTTATATGATAAATGCAGTAATTGTAGTCTTTGTGGGCCTCCTCAAAGGGGGCCCACCTCCCCAAAGCACCTTCAGAAGGTGATTCCTCTAGATTTTGGTGACTTATTTATTTTTATTTTTCAGGATTTTTGACTAGGAGTTCATATGCCTTGGATCTGCATCTGTGGGAATTCTTTTAGAGCGGGGCTTAAAGTTATGTCTCCAGAGGTTTGCATTTGTGGCTGCCAGTCACCTGGAGGTACTGTAACACAGTGCCACTTCATAATAAATTTCTCTTGGTCTGTTTCAGTACAAACAAGTGATGTGGATTCTGATACCAAATCTACCTAAGAATGTACCTGTGATTGAATTCTCAAAGGAAAACAGGTCCCCCCATCCCCAACCCCACCCGTTTTACCTAGGGTTAAGGTCTCAATGAGATAGGAAAGCACCCCTACCAAAGCTCATTGAGGATTGGGATTTTTTTCAACTGACTCACTGAAAGTATCATTTTTTTAGGTTTGCAGCTCCATTTAAGGTTCCCTGATTCAACCTTCCACCTATCATGGGCCACTGGCTTTGTTTCCTGAGCCTATGCAGGCCCATTAAAACACAAGTTCTAGGTCTTCTAGTATCTACAGAGTCCCAAGCAAATTTGTGTTTTCCAATTATGGCCAGACTTCAAGATTTTCTCTTATTCTTCTTCCTGCTGAGATGTGTTTGCAAAGATGTTTGTAAATATTTTATCCAGAAATTTTAGCTTGTTCTAGACACCAAATCCACCATATTGCTGTAATCAGAATTGGACTGCTTCCTAAAGTGATATTTAAACACACATGAAATCTTGAATCTTTCAACTTCTTTTTTCTCTCTTTTTTTGCCATTACTGACATTGTCAGATGATGTCCTATTAATACCTAAAACTGTACTGATTTTTTTAGGTTAATATCTCTTGCTTTTTTGTTCCAAATAAATATAAACTATCTCTAAAATGCACTGTTAAATGAAAAAAAAGAAAAGTGCATAGCTAATTGAATATTGTGCTCTAAGTATGTGTGTGCGTGTGTGTGTGTGTGTGTGTGTGTGTGTGTGTGTGTGTAATATTGGTTGTCTTTCAAGATAGGAACTGGGTAACTGGGAGATACTGATGGCAGGAAGTCGTAGCTTTTTTAAAAAAAATATTTATTTTGAGAGAGAGCATGCACATGTGTGTGCGTTGGGGAGGAGCAGAGAGAGAGGGAGACAGAAAATCCCAAGCAGGCTCCACATCATCAGTGCAGAGTCTAATGCAGGGCTCAATCCCATGACCATGAGATCATGACCTGAGCCAAAATCAAAATTGGACACTCAACCAACTGAGCCACCAAAGCGCTCTGGAAGTCTTATCTTTTAACTGAATGCCCTCATACCTTTTGAACTTTCACCCTGTGCATGTGTGCTACCTATTTTTAAATAATTTAAAATAATGATAAAATAAAAAATTGAGTAGGCAATATATTATGGAAAACATTGTAAAGACACAAATGTAAGGCAATTCCTTCTTTTCTGAGGGATAACTTTAAAGACAAAGCTACTCGATTCTTATAAAGACATACATGGCATACACTGGGATACAAAGAGGTGGGTACTAGGGCAGGTCATGTATGCATAAGCATATATGCAGAAATATACTGAATACAGGTGACCTACGACATGGATGCAAAAATATACTGAGTACAGGTGACCTCAGCGTAGAAGCATGCTTATTTACAGGTAACTGCCAATCATTGGAGAAATATAGCTCTCCTAGGCTCAGAGACCAAGTCAGGTCACAGTTCTGTCTGTGTACTCAAGTATGGTAAACAAACCTCACCCTTTCTACAGACTTCCAAATAAGACCATGCCTGTCCAGAGGTCAATTACAATACTTGTACTTTGGATGTTCGTTAAGTATTGTGTCATCATTCTGTTTGGACAATTTTGCATTCATTCTACAATTTCAGGTCAGGAACTTTGACCTGAATTGAAGTCATTTTAACTGTTGTTTTCCTTCTCACAACCAGAAAGAATTAACACAGGATAATGCTCATAAAGATTTGATTTCTCACTAAAAAAATAATTTAATGCTCCAAATATGAAGTCTTTTCCTATATACCAAGCCTCCAAACAGTGACTCAGTGGTACAAGAACACACTCCAAAGAAGTCCTGCTTTTATGTAATCTAATCTCATCTGTTTCCCTTTTCTTCTGAAAGCATATGATTTTAACTAAAATTTCTCACTGTTCCAATGATATGCATTTCAATCACACAAAATCTTAAAAGAGATTCCAATTAGTTCTGATATTACTATCAATGTTAGAACCCTGGGTTTTCTAAAAACACTGTTCAATAACAGAGATGATCTAGCTGTCTTCCTTCAGAAGGTATTGTCCAGTTCAAGACAAACCCTATCAGATACACTGGACAGCAGGTGGACAAAACACGCACTCAAGGGCAACTTAAAGTTCTGGGGTCTGGCTCTGACATTAAGAGAAATTGCTTTTAGGTTCTATGGTTGCTTCAGTGGCATGCAAGCTTGTAAAATTTCTAAAAAGATAAAATCAACAAAATTAAGTTAAAAGTTGTATTGTACAAAGGAATGTAGAATAATCCACTTTTACAGCAGATTAGAGGAAACATGATAGAAACAGACTTCTAAAAATCCATACTTCTGAAGTATTTTTTTTACTTTAAAGAGAGAAAGAGATAGTGTAAGCTGGGGAGAGGGCTGAGGGAGAGGTAGAGAGGGAAAGAGGGAGAGAAGGAAAGATAGAGGAGGAGAGAGAGAGAGAGAGATGAAGAGAGGGACAGAGGGACAGGGGGAGAGAGGGAGAGAGGGAAAGAGAGAGAGAATGGATCCTAAGCAGGCTCCACGCTCAGCACATAGCCTGATGTGGCACTTCTGGGATCATGACCTGAGGTGAAATCAAGAGTTGGACACTCAATCAACTGAGCCACCCCTTAAAAATCTGTAATTCTAAACTGAACCAGACCCATAGAGGAGATCTTGCCCAACTTCCTAACACACTGAAACTGAAGTCAATTGCAATCATTCTACCTCTACATTTGAATGGCTGTAGCATGTGAGAATGACTTTTCTATTCCCAATTCAGTGGACAGTTTTTATTCCTCACTTCCTGGAACACAGGTGACCACTCATTTCTTCATGTAACTCTACTCCCTTGACTTATGATGCTAGTCTCTCTGGTTCTCGCTGCATCCCTCCCACTAGTCCCTCTAGATCTTCTTTGTAGATCCATCCTCCTCCTCTGATTATCTCTTATGGCCATGTTCTGCAGGTTCCACTCTTGCCCACCACCCTCTTGCCCCTATGAGCCCTCCCTGGGTGACTGTAGGTACTGGCTTCATTTGAATTGCCATCTATAAGCTGCTGTGTCTCAAACTAAATCTCCCCAGCCTGGTTTTGTCCTTTTGGTTGTTCCACAAGCACATGAGACTAAACTGAACTCATCATCCACCTCATCAAAACTGCCCCTCTCCTGCCCCTCATATGCATGACCTCAGTTCAAGATACTACCATTAATTAGCTAGTTGCTCACACCAGAAACCTGAGAGTTGTTGTGAACTTCTTCCTCACCCATCTCCCCATCAGTGACCCTATTCTACTGATTTTACCCCTTGTATAGTTTTGGACTTTTCTCCTCCTTTCTATACTACCACTGCCTGGAGTAGCCACTCCTCATCCTTTGCCTGGTCTCCCTGCATATAGTCTCTTCTCCTCTACACAGAATGACCACATTAAGTGCCAGCCTAATCATGCAACAAGTGTGCCCAAATCTGTATCAGCTCTCTTTAAGGAGAGAATAAAGTTTAAGCCTCTTAACTTGACCTAGGAGAGCCTCCATGATACAGTCCTATCTTTTCATGTACTGCCTCCTTCCACCTTGAATTTTCTTTGTAGTTTGCCCTTGTTCTCATGGTTCGGCCACTTTATTACTTTAGCAAAAATGCATTTAAAATATATTTTGGTACAGAGACCATCTTTACAAAAGGATGGACTCTTCTCAGCATAGTAATTTAATGACGAAGTCTTCATTTCTTCTAAAGTAGCTTTGTAGGGCGCCTGGGTGGCTCAGTCAGTTAAGCGTCGGGACTTTTGATTTCGGCTCAGGTCATGATCTCATTCTTCATGAGTTTGAGCCCCACATTGGGCTGACAGCACAAAGCCTGCTTGGGATTCTCTCTCTCCCTTTCTCCCCTTCCCCCATTCGCTCCCATGAGCACACAGTATCTCTCTCAAAATAAATAAATTTAAAAAAAGCCGCTTGGTAATGGGCATTGTCTTTTAAAAGTCTGCAAGAATAGAAGCCTTTGAAAAACTTTTTTCCAACCGAAAGGTCATCTGTAAGGTCGTCCCCGGGCCATGATGATGTCATGCAGGGCAGAATAAATCCCCCACACACAGGTCACCCCTGCTTCTGCCTTCCTCTCTCCTCTGGCCTCTGTGTCTCCTCTTCTTCCTTCCTCTCTTCTAATATTCTCATTCTGATCCTTTCTCCTCTCCTTTCCTTCCTCTTCTACTAGTGGCTGCCTTGGAGCCCAGGTGAGTTGAATCTTCTGGGAACTTCCTGTCTCACCACTGGGAGCAGAGTGGCTCAAGCTAGACCACTCCACTTCCTCCCCTTCACCACTTTGCTCTCCCTGAAAGGTCATCTCCCCTGGGGCTGAAGGAGATGGGGTCAGAAGTAAAGGAAGGGCAGGGGAGGGGCAAAGTGGCCCTCTTTTCCATGCCATTCTGGCCCCATGAGGCCTCCAAGAGCCTGGGGGTTCGCAGCCAGAGAACTAAGACACTCTGGCTAATCAAACAGTGCTATTGGGGGAAGAGCCAGGAAACAGAAATAGAATCTTATCGCTTCCATTCATAGCTCCTGTGATCTTTAGCAAGGCTCACCACAGCTCACTTTCCGTTTTCTCCTCTGTTAGTATTATAAGCAGTTCATATGAAGTAATGAAAGAGAGCCTGCTTAGTAAACTGTGAAGCACCAGATGGACATATCCCTGTGCTGTTGTTCCTCCATTCTTTGGTCACTACTGAGTGCATACTTACCAATAAGGACTGCCTGGTCCCTGTGACCCTTCTTTTCCTCTCTCCTCCCCTGTAGATCCTCCAATTTAAAGAGGTCTTAGATAACTGCAGTTATATTTTGAATTGGCCAGGCCCTTCCTTCTCCAGCCACTGAGTTTGTTGGGGAAGACACCTACCATTGCCAGGGCTGAACTGTAATAACAAGGTGAAAATAAATGTACTCTAAGAAAGGACCCCTCTGCTTGTCACAGTCATATAATTAAAGTTCCCATAAGTAGATTTACTGACCATCAAACTCGCTATTTTCTTTCATCAAGTTTTTAAAAGTATCTTCATGATGTAATCGAACTTTCCTTCTCTCTGAAGCCAGATTATGTTCCACATGATCTTGCTCAGTCAGAAGTGTGACTGGTTTTAAATGAATCTAGAGAAAGAAAAACATTTATCTTTCATTGCCTTGTTAAATTATAACAGCGCAGCATGGATTTTGCAAAACCAATGATATGTTACATTGTTTTCTAACTCCAAGTAAATAGAGTATTTCTGGGGGCACCTGGATGGCTCAGTGCATGAAGCATCTGACTTTTGATATCAGGTCAGGTCATGATCTCATGGTTGTGGGATTGGCACCTGTATTGAGCTCTGTGCTGACAGTGAGCCTGCTTGGGATTCTTTCTCTCCCTTTCTCTCTACTCCTCTCCGGCTTGAGTTCACTCTCTCTCTTTCAAAAATAAATAAATAAATAAATAAATAAATAAATAAACTTAAAAAAATTTTTTTAAATATTTATTTTTGAGAGAGAGAGAGAGAGAGAGAGAGAGAGAGAGAGAGAGAGAGAGTGCACGAGCAGGGGAGGGCAGAGAGAGAGGCAGACACAGAATCCAAAGCAGTCTCCAGGCTCTGAACTGCCAGCACAGAGCCCGATGCAGGGCTCAAACTCACTGACTGTGAGATCATGACCTGAGCCGAAGTCAGATGTCTAACTGACTGAGCCACCAGTAATAATCTTCTTTAAATACATTATGTGTACATCTCTCTCTTCAGTAGAAAGATCTAGTCTTGTTATATCATAGTTGTCATCATGAAGTACCCTTACAGTGTATTTTTTATGCACATTTTAGTTTTGCTCTGACTCCAGAGGGATGCCACTTCCTCTGCCATAATCAAACAGTCATTCCAGTGACAGCCCTTTCCCAGTCTCTAGATACAGGGGTGCTCATCTCCTGAATCAATAGCAAGATAGTTAGGATGGTTGTTCTCACCATGACCTTGCCATCCCAGTTTTCCTATAGTGTGTGAGGGACTGAAGTTATCCAAATAAGACTCTGATTCTCCGAGGGGCAGTATGGTATAACCAGGAGGTTTTTAGAAAATTGCATTTATAAAGTTAAATATCATGAACGTTTTTTATTTTGTTATAAAATCATCTGTGTGAACATTTATATTGTTTTCAAAATTTGGTATTAAAACAATGATGCGTGAGGGCTCCTGGGTGGCTCAGTCGGTTAAGCGCCCGACTGGGGCTCAGGTCATGATCTCGCAGTTCGTGGATTCAAGCCCTGTGTTGGGCTCTGTGCTGACAGTTCAGAGCCTGGAGCCTGCTTTGGATTCTGTGTCTCCCTCTCTCTCTGCCCCTCCCCTGCTTGTGCTCTGTCTCTGTGTCTCAAAAAATAAATAAAATGTTAAAAAAGTTAAAAAAAATTTTTAAATAGACCATTCCTGGGTGTTTTCACACATATTATTTGACTAAGTTTTTTTCTTAAAATATTTTTAAACTAAAAAGTCAATATAGGCATAATTATTTCTTCATATAATACATGCTTTAAAGAGTTTTCCAAATATTAATTTTCCCTGATTTTCAAAATTTTCAACAGGCCTACAGAATAAAAAATTCTTCAAATTAATGAATGAGGAGAGGAACTTTGAATCCGCTGAATTCTTACTATGAAATGTTTTCTACTTTTTGCAAAATTAAAATCTCAAAGGAAGGGAGTAAAGATGCACTCGAGAAAGGTATCATGTACTGAGAGAGATTTCTAATTTGGAAATTTCATCACACAGTGAAAACATTGTCTAATAAGCAAATTGAAAGAATCAGTAGGTCAGAACAAAGCTTAATTTGACCTCCAGAAATCTGGAACTATGGTGCAGCAGAACGAAGGGCTCAAGCTCTGCCAGAAAAGCCTGTCTGCTAACCTGCGTGCATGAAAAAGTCACCCTGCAGCTGGATGGGAATAATTCCATGCTTGTTTCCAGGACACCTAAAGGCTGGCACTGACCCTTAGCCAAGACTACAAAATAGCTAAGGGATTCATAATATGCTGCTTTCAAGTCTAAGATTCCCCTGGAGTACCTTGTCTAATTTGTTTAGGAATATATAGAGACTTGATAACTTACACTGGTTTAGCTCTATACAACCTTGTTTTAGTTATGTGACCAGAAGGGTGTAAAAGTCCACCTAGTAAACTTGTGCCTTGGCTCTCCAATCTTAATCCAGATGAAGCATATTTTGTATAACTGAAAAGGACTGTGAGAGTGAAAAACAGAGAGCTTCCCCCTAAGGTCAGGAATAAGACCAGGATGTCCACTCTCACCACTTCTATTCAACATGGTACTGGAAGTCCTACCCACAACAATCAGACAACAAAAAGAAATAAAAGGTATCTGAATTGGTAAGGAAGAAGTGAAACTCTATTTGTAGATGAAATGATACTATATATATATAAAATCTTAACTCCACCCAAAAATTACTAGAACTGAAAAATGAATTCAGTAAAGTTGCAGTGTACAATGTATAGAAATCTGTTGCATTCCTATACACTAATGATAAAGCAGCAGAGAATGGAATTAAGAAAACAATCCTATTTACAAATGCACCCCAAACAATAAAACAGCTATCAAAAAACTTAACCAAAGAGGTGAAAAACCTGTACTCTGAAAATTGTAAAACACTGATGAAAGAAATTCAAGACCATGCAAAGAACAGAAAACTCAGAAATAAACCCACAAATACATGGTCAATTAAGCTTTAACAAAGAAGGAATGAATATACGATGGAAAAAAAAGTGTCTTCAACAAATGGTGTTGGGAAAATTGGATAGACACGTGCAAGACAATGAAACTGGACCCCTTTCTTTCACCATATACAAAAATAAACTCTAAATGGATTAAAGGCCTAAATGTAGGACTGAAACCATAAAAATCCTTAAAGAGAGCACAGGCAGTAATTTCTTTGACATTGGCTATAGCAACATTTTTCTAGATATGTCTCCTGAGGCAAGGGAAATAAAAACAAAAATAAGCTATTGGGACTGTATCAAAATAAAAAGTTTCCACACAATAAAGAAAACAACAAAACTAAAAGGCTACCTACTGAATGGGAGAAGATATTTGCAAATTAGATAACTGATAAAGGATTCATATCTAAAATATATAAAGAACTGATACAATTCAGCACCCAAAAACAAATAATCCAATAAAAAAGGGACAGAAGACATAAACAGACATTTATCCAAAGAAGATATACAGATGGCCAACAGACAAATGAAAAGATAGTCAACATCACTCATCATTAGGGAACTGCAAATCAAAACTACAATGAGATATCACTTCACACCTGTCAGAATGGCTAAAATCAACAACACAAAAAACAATAGGTGTTAGGAGAGGATGTGGAGAAAAAGGAAACCTTGTGCACTGCTGGTGGGAATGCAAACTGGTGCAGCCACTGTGGAAAATAGTAGAGGGGGTTCCTCAAAAAATTAAAAATAAAACTACCCTAGGATCCAGTAATAGCATTACTGGGTATTTATTACCAAAATACAGAAACACTAATTGAGAGGGATACATGCATCCCTATGTTTATAGCAGCATTATTTACAATAACCAAACTATGGAAGCATTCTAAGTGTTCACTGATAGATGAATGGATGAAGAAGATGTGGTATATACATATACAATAGACTATTATTCAGCCATCAAAAAGAATGAAATCTTCCCACCTACAACTACGTGGATGGATATAGAATGTATTATGCTAAGCAAAATAAGTCAGTCAGAGAAAAGACAGATGCCATATGATCTCACTCATATGTGGAATTTAAGAAACAAAACACATGAGCAAAGGAGAAAGAGAGAGAGAAAGACAAACCAAGAAACAGACTTAATTACAGAGAATTCCACCCAAGGGAGCTGGGTGGGTGGATGGGTGAAATAAGGGATAGGGATTAAAGAGTACACCTATCATGATGAAAAACAAATAATAATAATAATAATAATAATAATAATAATAATAATAATAAAGGAAAAGAACCCCAAGAGCTATGCCTGAAGTCTTAAACTTCTTTGCTGTTCGCCAGTGCTTTCTTTCTCCTACAAACAACCTCTTCTAGTTTAGTAAGGCCCTGCCCGAGCATACCCTGTGGTGTTCTGTGAGTCCTTCAATGATCCGGCCTATGAAACTGATGAACTAACTAATAAGCCTAGTTAACCATTGCCCGTCTCATCCTGGAACAAACTCACTTTGGATACAGATGCAGGTAGGCCTGTTGGTTCATACCAAACCACTGACTTTTTGTGGCTCTCTTTGTGATGTGCCCCTGAACAAGAACATTACTAACTGGAAAATAATTCGTTTGGGAAAGCTGTTTTACAATAAAGGTTATCTGAGCCAACCTATAATGGCAGGACCATAAGGCATCTGACTTCCCAGAAATGCTCTCAGAAAAAGTTTCTTCAGGCTCAGGACAGGTTTAACTGGAGTGCTACTATAGTATTCTTATTTCATGAGTCCCTGAAGCCAAAATGAGAAGTCTCAAGCTTGAGAGGAAAAACGATAGTCCTTGTGTTCTTCTCCATGGAAGGAACAGAATGGGATGGTGATGTGGACTCCTTTCTGTCACTTTTTCTCAGATATGGAAAATCTGCAATCACCCCCACAGTCTCTCATTCTCAGGGTTTGGAGATTTGGGGGGACTCTGGGAAAAAAAAACAATGGTTTGCAAGACCTATCTCAATGTCTTAGATTTTTAGTGAACATAGGATCCTGGGATGCTTTGTCAAAGTACAGATTCCAAGTTCCTATACTAGTGATTCTAATTCAGTAGGTCTGAGACATAGCCCAGAAAGCTGCATTTTCAGTATTAGCTGATATGAACTTCAGTTTCAAATAGAATGCCCTTGGGCAATATGAATATGTCTTGTTGAATGTCTAATATTGGACAGAGACTGGGAGAAGTGCCGTGGTGCACAAAATTCTTCAGGGACACCTACCACCCAGGCATCAGGATGGACTGAGTCAGATCCATCTATATCTTTGCCTGTTGGCCCAAGTAAGGAGTTGCTGGTGAGTACTGCCCTACTGTCATCTCTGTTGGGTACAGAGAAAATACGGCTTTGTCCCGGCTCTAAAGTTGGATGCAGGCTGAAGAACACTTTTGCAGAGTAAGAAGTACCCCTTGTTGCTTCAATATGGAACTAGGAGAAGCTACTATGCCCATGTTTGAAGTGATCCTTGCAGTGAGAGATTTAATTCTAAATTGGATTATTACCTTTAGACTAAATGGGGACCCTCCCCCTGATCCTAAAAATGAAAGCCAAGAAACAATGAGTAAACCCCCAGCAAACTATAGACAAGCTGCTCTGGGCCCATAGCCAGGCAGGCCTGCTGGGCACACATACACATATCAGAATAATGCATATATTTTAAGGTTGTTTTTACTCCATATGCCCTGAAGCTTATTTCTAAACTTCAACAGTTCAGCCTCTTTGACGTTCTTCCTTCAGGTATAAAAAAATGATTGGACTATAATATGCAAGTGCTGACTAAACTGCTCTTGCTTTTTAAAAAAAAAAAAAATATTTTAACTCAATTTTGAGTTATATAACCATAAAAGAAAAGAACTAACCCAGTAAACACTATTTTTGAGAAACTGATAGGCACTTTGGATCATTTAAAACACAGTGTTTTTTTCCTCTTTAACAAACTGACTACATCTCCCTTCCTCTAAGGTGCTTAACACTGTATTACCACAGAAGGACAAATTTTACAAAAATATTGATGGATAAAAAATCTTGGGAAAGCATACTGCACAGTAACAAGAAATGTCTTTTTCTCCATAATAATTCTGATGCAATCATTACTATGTCCCTGAATTACATCATAGATACTTCTTCACACAGAAAATTTACCTTTTCTTTTCCAACTGGTTTGGCTACAAATGTAGAGAAAGCCACACTAACAAGTTTCTCAATACCAGTGAGCATGTCCTGTACTATCACCTTGATGCTGATCTAAAATGAAAAGAAAAATAAATAAGTAAACGTTCAGCCATCCAGAAAACAGATGAGATCACAGCAATCAAAATTCAGTTATGCACTTCAATGTTCTTTTGTTTTTGAATTAAATCAGCATTTTAATTTATTTTTAAGCAATACTGTTCTTTCAGTGATGTCCCATAAAATTAAAATATAACTTTTTTTCTGGGGCACCTGGGTGGCTCAGTTGGTTGAGCGTCCAACTTTTGATTTTGGCTCAGGTCATGATCTCACAGTTCATGTGCTGACAGCACAGAGCCTGCTTGTGAGTCTCTCTCTCCTTCTTTCTCTGCCTGTCCCCTGCTTATGCTTTGTCTCTCTCTCTCAAAATAAATAAACTTAAAAAAAACTTTTTTCTTACTAGAAAAATAGATATTTGACATGGAAAATTTGGTAAACATAAAAATACATAAATGATAAAAATGGAATCTGATTACCCAGAGTAAATATTATTAGTAATCCCATTACCCATATTAATAATCACTAATGTTTAGGTGAATTTTATTCCCATTTTATGTGTGTGTATGTATTTACATAAAATTATCACACTGTATTTACAGTTTCATGTTATAATTTTAAAAACTGGCATTATCTGACAAGTATTTTCTAATCCCATTATTACTATATGTGCTTTTGAAAACAAGATACTAATTAATGCCTTGTAGACCATTAAGGAGATACACCATAACTTTTTTTAATCTTCAGTCTCTGGCTTTTATAACTGAGTTAACATGGACAAACTGCATCATGTTATCAGTAGCTTTGTTGCCTTTTTCAGAAATTTTGTTTTTCAGGAAGAGCAAGAAGGTGGCTGAGGCACTTTTTGGTGACACTACAAGGGAATGGATTTCCTTATGGGAAAAGATCTGAAGCTTAGGTCCTGAGGATTTCACTGTGTACAAGTATTGGTAAACTCAGGAATCTGTTGTAAGATTTTGGCTAATAAACACTTGCCCCACATATCCCTGATATGTAACACTATCTTCTTGGACTCATGGGCAACCTCAGGCCTCTTAGCTTAGCACTGTATTATTAACTATAGAGAACAGCTGTTTCTACATCTTCACCAACTACCTCGTGTGCAAAAATAATCAATAATCCATAATTCATTTTACATCACTTACCTTACGAATGCAAGTGAGTATTTTCACAGTAACACTCAAGTTAACTCGACAGTGGTTAACCAGATTTAAACCATCCATTCTCAAGCCCACAATTCTGGAGAGTTTAAATGAGTTCCAAACACTGTCTTCTGTTAGAACAGTTAACTTAGTTATGTATGACGGCCAAATGTCTCAAAAACATACGTGAGGGGGACTTTCACTTTGTGTCATGAAAAAGTAGGTCAGATTGGAATTACACGCTGCAAAAACAACTAGAAAACTGAACCAACTATTTTCACACTAGAATAGCAGATAATGTAGAAATATCACCACTAAGAAGAGGGAAACGGATAAGAGGAACACTTGAATTTCTGGGCTCTCAGCCAGAAGGTAAGTCCCAGACTATGGCCAAGGAGGGGAAACTGAACCTTCCTGAAATGAGGAGGCAGAAATCAAGAAGACCAACGCTCCTGGGATTTGTGGGCATTCCCAGAAAAAAGTGTAACTACAAAAGGAAAGAATTCCAAAAATTTGCACACAGTCCTGTTAAGTGTTTGGGATGACACCAGTCTGACGTTTACAAGGTGGACGTTTACAGGGCCAGACATGAGCACCTTCTGAGGCAAAAATGATTCCTGGGGAGTGTAACATGAGCAGTCCCGAGAACTTATGCAGAACTCAGAGTCTGGTGTTCCCACCAGCCAGACCTTATTGAATACACAACATATGCAGAGACCACAGAAGACTTCAACTTGGAAGAGGGACTAAATTAGCCCTAGTCAAGGCTAGGATTTACTTTCCTTGGGATCAGAAATCTGTGCTTTTAGGGGTGCCTGGGTGGCTTAGTCAGCTAAGTGTCCGACTCTTCATGTTGGCTCAGGTCATGATCTCACGGTTCATGAGACAGAGGCCCTTGTTGGGCTCTGTGCTGACAGCATGCAGCATGGAGCCTGCTTAGGTTTCTCTGCACCCCCCCCACCCCCCGCCCCGCTCTCTCTGGTCCTCACCCACCTCTCGAGCATGCGTGCATGCTCTCTTTCTTTCTCTCAAAAAAAATAAACATTTAAAAAAGAAATCTGTGCTTTTAAACTAACCGGTTTTTCTTTTCTTAGCTTTTAATCAAATTTCCTTTGGAAATTCTACGTTTTCTCATGGAATAGGAGGAAAAGGATAAAAGAAAAGGAGCTGTTATCCGTGTTTGGGCTGAATATAAGGTAGAGTGCTAGCCTGTAGTAGGGAGGCTGAGAAAGTACCATCACGATCGTTGCTGACAGAGCTGACTTTTAACACAAAGATTTCCTTTCTGATTTCAAGTGTTTTGTATTCTGTTCATATGGATACTGGGGGAAAGTGACTAACTCAGGGTAAAACCATCACCATTAGGTATGGTTACTGTCAAATAGTTCTGTTGAATAGGAATATGGGTTGAATCCAGTACCTTATAATGTGACCTTATTTTGGTTAAGGTGAGGTCATACCAGAGTAGGGTGGGCTCCTAGTCCAATGTGACTGATGTCCTTCGAAAAAGGAGGGGTTTGGACACAGACCCTCAGAACACTATGTGAACATGAAGGCAGAGATCAGGATGATGTGGCAGAAGCCAAGGCAAATCACCAGAAGAAAGCACTGGGACACACTCTCTCACACAGCCCCCAGAAAGAATCAACCCTACAGACTCCTTGATTTAGCACGTCTATCCTCTAGAGATGTGAGACAATAAATATCTGTTGTTTAAGCCATCTGCTCTGTGGTATTCTGCTATGCCCTAACAAACAAATATAAGTCCCTATATGTCTTTTGTGCCCAAAGATCAAAGGGACTGCTACAAACCAACCTAGAAGTTGCAAAATGGGATCCAGTAAACCCTTTGCTACTGGTTCAATCAGAACAGAAAATTCAAAAGCCCCTGAGAATGCTGCATTCACAACTATGGTAAAGAAAATAAAACCGAGTGGGTGAAGAAGAAAAATCTAAACTTCCTTTCTCACTTCAGTTACTCTACCTTTCAAAAACTAGTTAATTATGGGGCTAGTTTCCACTAGAGGGTGCAGAGATGGAGAAAAAGCAGAGTCAGTGTAATTAAGAAATAAGACCCATGGCTTGTAAAGAACCAAGAGAGTGCCCTTCTCCCTTATATGTTTACTTCTTATGTATCCTTCTATATAAAAATAGTGTGTCGCATCACCTTTAATTTTAGCAGAGTTGACTAGGAAACTCAAGGTCCTTATTATTTACCTGTGACACTGACTCCAGGTTCAAGCATCTTCTGGAATTCAGAACCTCATGAACTCCAAATTATGCCAGGCCTCCTGCTCTGCCCTCTGTACACAATGAAAAGAGAGCACCAATAGGCAGAAGTAAGAAAAGAGGTCTCTTACCTCCATGCTTGTGCTGAATGCTCTGGTAACTTTCGCTTTGATGGTTATCACTTGTCCAACTCTAGTTAAAAAAAGAGGGAGTGACCTTAGTAATCCTAGTACCTCTCATTTCAGACCTAAAGATTCACTTAAATGCATGTGCAATCACTCCTTATCACGCTGATAATGATTATGCATGAAACTTCAGATTAATGATAACAGAAAAAGACAGTTCTACAAACAGATGCCAGTCATTGTAAACCACACATATGTTGGTTGCCTACTTCTATTCAAACAGAAAGAGGCCTTTGCAAAGTTGGTGTGCAAAAGGACTTCCACAATCTGCAAAGGATACTTTGATTGTCTCACAGCTGTTTCCTTAAGAGAAGTTAAAATAGACAAGCAAACCTATACAAATGACATTTCTTTTTTAAATGTCTGTTAACAAATACATGGAGAAACATGCAAACTGATCAACTTCACCACTCACCATTCACTCTTCATGATTATAGGGATTCTGGTCATATAGTCTGAAGTTGTTCCAAACCTTCTGTGTTCAGTCCCCTCAGTTACCACTGATTCTTTAACCTTAGCAGAAGGTAAGGGTCTTCCTAATGCAATCCTCTTCAATTTTTCTCAATGACTTTCAAACTTGAACTATATCCTCCTTACTTTTCTGTTTCAGAGGAAGAACGTTAGATCTCTTTCAGAACCTCTTTCTGTACCTGTGCCCTTGTTACCTCTTCTCAGCCACCATGGCCAGCTTAGTCAGCTCTTTCCTCTTTCGAACCCTCATCCTCTGCCCCTTCCCTGACTCTCCTTACTAGTCTATGAAAATGTCCAAGGCTACTTCTTTCTAAAAACGTTTCTCTCAAGCCGATTCTATCTCAAATTTTTTCTCTTCTCCATATTCAAACTTCCTAAAATACTCATTTCTTTTTCTAACTCACAGATTTAAAATAAAATAAAATAATAAAATTAGAGTCAATCCTCTGGAAAAAAAATAAAGCTTACACAAATCAGGGAAAGAAAAAGAAATGTTTACTGAAATGTTTAAGAAATGTTTACAACTAGTCCTGGCATTAAGCTAAGACTTCAGGATACCGTGATGAACAAGATGAGGCTCCTGACTTCAAGGAGACCAGTCTTCACTTAGGTCACCAGGATGTAAACAGATGAAGTGCAGTGCCATGAAATTTTTCAAAAGAAAAGACTGAGTATTACAAAGATAACCATAAGAAGAAGCTAATTCAGAAAGCTGGGAAAGGAGTCACAGAAGAGGTGACGTTTGAGATGGGTCTTCAAAGATGAGGATTTTGCCAGGTGCAGAGGTTTGAGGGCTTCGTTTCCCATTTACTTCTCAGCCACTTGAACCTGGCTATTGCCTCCACATCTCACTTCCAGTCCCTGTCATTTCCTAAAAGCTAAATCCAACATCTCACCTCTTTAATGTCTTTCTTCAGGAGGCTTTCTCTTCCCTTGGATTCCGGACCAGTGTTCTCTTCTCTATCTCAGCTTCCTTCACTGGTTTCTCTTCCTTAATCCATCCCTTCAGGGCCAACATCTCCTAAATTTCTGTCCTTTATCCTATTCTCTTCTCACTACACCCTCTTCTTAGAAGACCTTGTTCTTGTCCATGATTCCGTCATCTCTATTAAAATGATTCTCTAATCTCCATCTTTAGCCTGGACATCATTCTTGAAACTCAGAGCCATATTTCCAAATTCTCTCAACAGATTCAACTAATAGTTATGGAGGCTCTACTAGACTTAGTGTTAACAACCTCCACACACATTCCCAATTTAACTTAATCTTCACATCCAGCATATGCAACCAAACCAATTTTCTTTTTTCTTATATTTGTTCCTTTTAAAGTTCCTAGCTCTGTTTGGTAAAGTTTCTAGAAGAGATTTGCAGTAATAGTGCCAGGCAGAGTTAGAGTCCCTCTCCAAAGCTACTGTGATACTTTGTACTCATCAACTACTAAAATGTTATGCTTCTCTGTCTCTCAGACTTGGACTTGGGGGTGGGGTCAGAGCAGAAGCCATTTTTCTGGTTTTGTGAATCTGTCCTGCCTTTAAAAGTAGGAGAATTCCAAGAACCTGGCTCTCCACACCAATCTCCCGATATTGAATGTCAAATGAATGGAATAACTGAAATCTCAACTAAATAAAACCAATTTCATAGCATGGCATTCAAGGTCTTCTGTTATGTAGCTCCAGTCCACTGCTGGGCATCACCTCTCTGCAGACCAGGCTCTTCCTGAACACTCTCTGCTCCTTCCCATCTTGGTGCTTAGGTTCTTACAAGCGCCTCATTGTGCGAAGTCCTTTTCCTATTCACCAGAAAAAAGTCTATGCCTCAGTTAAGGCACACATCAAGTGCTACTCCTCTATGGTAAAATTCTCATTGATTTTCTAATCAAAATGTGCACCTTTTAAACTACCCCACAGAACGGAGTTTGTATCTCACCCAAGGGCTGCATCCTAGCATGCTTTCTATTCTGATGATTATGTGTTTGTCTGACTCTCACCAGACTGAGTGACCACTCCACTTCAAAATTGTGCCATAATCAAACACTTATGTATCTTACTGAGTCCATTGCAGTATTTTTTATATAGGCAATAAATACTTAAGAATTTAATTTAAATTAATTTAATTAATTACTTAATTAATATCTGATATGGTTTATAAACAAATACATGGTTTTGTTTAACTTTTTTTTAAATATGACATTTATTGTCAAATTGGTTTCCATACAACACCCAGTACTCATCCCAACAGGTGCCTTCCTCAAAACCCATCACCCACCCTCCCCTCCCTTCCACCCCCCATCAACCCTCAGTTTGTTCTCAGTTTTTAAGAGTCTCTTATGGTTTGGCTCCCTTCCTCTCTCTCTCTTTTTTTTTTTTTTTCCTTCCCCTCCCCCATGGTCTTCTGTTAGGTTTCTCAGGATCCACCTAAGAGTGAAAACATATGTTATCTGTCTTTCTCTCTATGACTTATTTCACTTAGCATAACACTCTCCAGTTCCATCCACGTTGCTACAAATGGCCAGATTTCATTCTTTCTCATTGCCAACTAGTATTCCATTGTGTATATAAACCACAATTTCTTTATCCATTCATCAGTTGATGGATATTTAGGCTCTTTCCATAATTTGGCTATTGTTGAGAGTGCTGCTATAAACATTGGGGTACAAGTGCCCCTATGCATCAGCATTCCTGTATCCCTTGGGAAAATTCTTAGCAGTGCTATTGCTGGGTCATAGGGTAGGTCTATTTTTAATTTTTTGAGGAATCTCCACACTGTTTACCAGAGTGGCTGCACCAATTTGCATTCCCACCAACAGTGCAAGAGGGTTCCCATTTCTCCACAGCCTCTCCAGCATCTAGAGTCTCCCGATTTGTTCATTTTGGCCACTCTGACTGGCGTGAGGTGGTATCTGAGTGTGGTTTTGATTTGTATTTCCCTGATGAGGAGCGACGTTGAGCATCTTTTCATGTGCCTGTTGGCCATCTAGATGTCTTCTTTAGAGAAGTGTCTTTTCATGTTTTCTGCCCATTTTTTCACTGGATTATTTGTTTTTCGGGTGTGGAGTTTGGTGAGCTCTTTATACATTTTGGATACTAGCCCTTTGTCTGATATGTCATTTGCAAATATCTTTTCTCATTCCGTTGGTTGCCTTTTAGTTTTGTTGGTTGTTTCCTTGGCAGTGCAGAAGCTTTTTATCTTCATGAGGTCCCAATAGTTCATTTTTGTTTTTAATTCCCTTGCCTTTGGAGATGTGTCAAGTAAGAAATTGCTGTGGCTGAGGTCAGAGAGGTCTTTCCCTGCTTTCTCCTCTAGGGTTTTGATGGTTTCCTGTCTCACATTCAGGTCCTTTATCCATTTTGAGTTTATTTTTGTGAATGGCATAAGAAAGTGGTCTAGTTTCATCCTTCTGCATGTTGCTGTCCAGTTCTCCCAGCACCATTTGTTAAAGAGACTGTCTTTTTTCCATTGGATGTTCTTTCCTGCTTTGTCAAACATGAGTTGGCCACACTTTTGTGGGTCTAGTTCTGGGGTTTCTATTCTATTCCATTGGTCTATGTGTCTGTTTTTGTGCCAATACCATGCTGTCTTGATGATGACAGCTTTGTAGTAAAGGCTAAAGTCTGGGATTGTGATGCCTCCTGCTTTGGTCTTCTTCAAAATTACTTTGGCTATGAGGGTCTTTTGTGGTTCCATACAAATTTTAGGATTTCTTGTTGTAGCTTCGAGAAGAATGCTGGTGCAATTTTGATAGGGATTGCATTGAATGTGTAGATAGCTTTGGGTAGTATTGACATTTTGACAATATTTATTTTTCCAACACATGAACACGGAATGTTTTTCCATTTCTTTACATCTTCTTCAATTTCCTTCATAAGCTTTCTATAGTCTTTAGCATACGGATCTTTTACACCTTTGGCTAGATTTATTCCTAGGTATTTTATGCTCCTTGGTGCAATTGTGAATGGGATCAGTTTCTTTATTTGTCTTTCTGTTGCTTCATTATTAGTGTATAAGAATGCAACTGATTTCTGTACATTGATTTTGTATCCTGTGACTTTGCTGAAGTCATGGATCAGTTCTAGCAGACTTTTGGTGGAGTCTATCGGGTTCTCCATGCATAATATCATGACATCTGCAAAAAGTGAACGCTTGACATCATCATTGCCAGTTTTGATGCCTTTGATTTCCTTTTGTTGTCTGATTGCTGATGTTAGCACTTCCAACACTATGTTAGACAACAGCGGTGAGAGTGGACATCCCTGTCATGTTCCTGATCTCAGGGGGAAAGCTCTCAGTTTTTCCCCATTGAGGATGATATTAGCTATGGGCTTTTCATAAATGGCTTTTATGATGTTTAAGTATGTTCCTTCTATCCTGACTTTCTCGAGGGTTATTATTAAGAAAGGATGCTGAATTTTGTCAAATGCTTTTTCTGCATCGACAGGATCATATGGTTCTTTTCTTTTATTAATGTGATGTATCACATTGACTGATTTGCAAATGTTGAATTAGCCCTGCATCTGTCTGGGCTACTTGCACACTGCCAGGCTTATGGTGCTGCTTTGATGGGATCTGGTGTATTAGCCAGGGTGGATCTTCAAGGTGCACAGGGGTGGAAGGGGCAGACTCAGCTCGCCTTGCCTTTGGTGGTCCGCTTTGGGAGGGGCCCTGTGGCACTGGGAGGTAGGCAGATCTGTCGGAGGGATGGATCCACAGAAGCACAGCGTTGGGTGTTTGTGCAGTGCAAACAAGTTCCATGAGGGGAACTGGTTCCCTTTGGAGTTTGGCTGGGGGATGGGCGAGGGAGATGGCACTAGCCAGCACCTTTGTTCCCCACCAAGCTGAGCTCTGACTTCCAGGGCTCAACACCTCTCCCTCCCAGTGTCCTCTCGCCCTCCCGCTCTCCAAGCAGAGCTGTTGACTTTTAACATTCCAGATATTAAGTCCCGCTGGCTGTCAGAACTCACGCAGTCCGGCCCCTCCGCTTTTGCAAGTCAGACTCAGGGACTCTGCCTTGCCGGGCGGGCTGCCCTCCACTGCCCCGGCTCCATCCCACCAGTCCGTGTAGCGCACACCGCCTCGCCGCCCTTCTTACCCTCTTCCGTGGGCCTCTTATCTACGCTTGGCTCCAGAGAGTTCGTTCGCCTAGTCTTCTGGCGGTTTTCTGGGTTATTTAGGCAGATGTGGGTGGAATCTAAGTGATCAGCAGGACGTGGTGAGCCCAGTGTCCTCGTATGCCGCCATCTTCTCCCAATCCATCAATATATGGTTTTCTGTAGGTAGCTTTCAATTTTCTCTTTTTATGATTCAGGTCCCATGTAAAAAATAGAAGAAGGCCCCTTTCCATGATGTTAGTGGCCACAAATCCTTTTTGATAACACCAACACAAAATGGCTTAAAAAAACTAACCCATATTTCGGTGATGAGATTGCTAGTTAAGTGTAAGTTACAGAATTTAAGTTTGGAAAGTATGTGATAGATACTTTATTACAATACACTTTTGGAACTCCTAAATTAATAATGGCACTTCATCTAGTCTTAAGTAAGTTTGGGTTTATAGTAATTTGTAATTTTGCTGATATGCAAACACTTATCAATTTTTTCTACTTCAAGGAAAATCACATAGCTAGTATGTGAGTTTAGTCAGTGTGTCTCTATCTGCATCTACAAGACTCTAGAATGTCAAGAGCTCTTTCAGTGACACTGCAGCTGCCTGTGAGAACAACCATTGAGAAGTGTTCAGTAAAAGTTGCTGATCACAAAAGCAGAAGCAGTGGGTTGGGAAAAGCACTGGATTAAGCATAAGGAAATCCAGACTCTAAGCACCCTCTGTCTCCTGGCTTGCTTGGGGAATTAGGCCTCAGTTTCTTGTTGTTACAAAGAGAAAGCTGGGCTGACCTATAAAGGTCTCTCCATGTCTATGATTCTAATTTCTACCAAAAATTTCTTCTGTATCAGCTTTGAAGAAGTGATTTTTTTATGCATGTGGTTTCATTTAATTTAATTTTGCTTGTATCTAAATAAATAAATGCCAAACAGGTAAATGTAAACAGTAAGGTTGGGGAGATAAACTGAGTATCTCATTGGACAAGACTACTTAGGGTTTGAAAACAATGCCAACTACCCCCATGGTCCTTGAGAACCATCCAAGACCAGAAACAGATGACTTTCTCTCTTCCTTTTCCTTTTAAGTTATGTTCATGTCTTCAAGGATCAAGATATTCAGGGAAAAACAAAAACAAAACCAGAGATACAAACATAAAAACATATAATCCTCCTTAAAAAAACCATATAATGCTAATTTATTAGTTATTAGTATAAACTATTTATTTTTTAAATGTTTACATTTATTTATTTTGAGACAGAGAGAGAGACAGCACGAGAGGGACAGATGGGCAGAGGGAGAGAGAAAGATTCCTAAGCAGGCTCCCTGCTGTCAGCATAGAGCCTCATGTGGGGCTCGACCCCACAAACGAGAAGATCATGACCTGAACCGAAATCTAGAGTCAGACACTCAACCAACTGAGCCGCCCAGACACCCCTAGTATAAACTCTTTAAAAAAACAAATAATTCTTAATTCTGTCCACTGGAAAAAATCTAGAAACAATGACCAACCCTATATAAATGAGCACATTTTCTGCCCAAATTGTGATCTCTACTTACAATTTCTTTTGAAGAAATTTATGACTAAGTTTTTGTAAGGAAATGTAAAAGATGAGCCCATCTTGTCAGAATTGAAATGCATCAAATATGTTAAAATCCATGGGCTTACAATGACACTAAATAAAGAGAAAGAATTAAGCTTGTCTTTCCTAGACAAACTTTACTTAAGGGTAACCAAGTAATTAATGAGATAATGAGTCTCTCTACACAAATACTTCAGAAAATAAATGAAGAACAAATGATAGTATTAGCACATTACCATTCTGCCAATATGTAATGAAATAATGGTTCTAAGTAATGATCATTAGACATTACGTGCTCTTGACAAGAACTAATTTTACCAAAATATCAAACCTTCATCTGACCAATTTTTAGATGTAACTATCATTGTATAAGAAATACAAAGGGTGGGTGAACAGGTTAGACAGGGATACAATGAGCAAATACAAAATGTAAACTCTACAGAACAAATGACCAGGTTTCTTTAAAAAAAAAAAAACTAGGAGAAAAGAAAGAAGCGAAATCAACCATATTCAATCCTGATTCAAGAAACCAATTGTTTAATTTTTTAAAAAATATCTTTTGAGGTCATTGGGAATAATGATTTCTGTTAATGGTATTGTTGTTATTATGTTTTCTAAAAGAGTCCTTATCATATAGAAATATATAATGAAATATTCATAAATGATGCCTGGGATCTCCTTTCACAATAATCTAGGTGTGTGGGGAAGTATGGAGAAGTAGTGATAAAACAAGAGTTTCCATGAGCTTATTATTATTGTAGTCAGGTGATGGTCCTTGGGGATATACTGTACTCTTCTATTTTTGTATATGTTTGAAACATTTGTTAATCTTGAAATTTTCTACAATAGGAGATGGTAAAGCACATAAACGCTCTCACACATTAAATGTTTTTCATAATTTAACATTTGTATTCACATGAATTAACGTTCACTCAACAACTTAATGATGAAATTCACCATCATAGATACTCTTATTATCATTAATTATTCTTCTTGTAGAGGAAGGAGCCATTAAGAATCAGCTTTTAGAAATCCAGCTCTGCCTCATACAAGAATGCATCCATTTGGAGAGCTATTTCTCAATAAAATCAGGACTATGAATTTCTACTTCAAAGTGTTTACTAAAAGTAGGTCCTGCAATTACTATTTTATTGATTTACATTAGGTCAAATATTTAATTAACAAATTGGATCATTGACTCCAAATAAACAAGCATAGGTAATGCAAATATATGTTGCAAATGAGCCAAAAAGCCCAGGAGAAAGGTGTGATAGAGCAATACCACTTACCTAGCTGTCTCCTCAAATTGTATGTCATCCACTGAGGCTGTAACACAGGAAATCCCAGCATGCTTTTCAGCTTCAAAAACAGCAAAAATGTGTTAATTAATAGTTATGGTTAAATATTTCAGCATAAGGGAAAAGAATAAAAGTTAAATGGATGTATTCTAGTAATCATCCTCTGGTTCAGTGAAGTACCACTATGCCCACACTTAGAGATGATCTGGATCAATGACAGTTCTTTTGCTCTGTAAGTTGTACTTCTACTGAATGGAAATTATTGTACTGTCTTTGATTTGAAATTCAAAACCAATATCTAGTATATCTAGCTATTTAAATAGCAATTTTATTAAGTTGGTACCAACTTTAAATATTTTGTTAGATATGACCCTTCTTTTGTTTTAAAAACAATTCATCAAAGCTGTATCCATTATCCCACATAACAAAAAGCTGATTATATTTAGACCACTTAACAAGTATAAGTACTGAATAGTATAGGAGACACTGACATCAGACCCCAAATTGCAGAGCAACTTCTCTTGAGTAGCAGAGAAATATTCAGCATCTATTAGGTATTTAGTCAATATTTATTGTTCATTATTACCAAATTCTGTATGCGGTAATTATGTTGGAGAGGAGAATATTAAATAGGGTATAAGGAGATTAGGGAAGAACCCTAGCTATCCATATTCCATGCCTGCATTTAATTTGTTGAGATATTTTTTGATTGTTGATTTTGCTTTATATAAAAATATCATAACTTAATCTCTTTAGGAAAAATGTTGACATGTGCTTCTGTCAGAATTTGATTTTGACGAACATTCAGTTAAAACCCAAACAGACTGCACCGGCTTTTTAAGTGCTTTGAACCTCATTTTAATTTTGGAGACTTCACTCTTTATTCTTCACACTTTTAGAGACATGAAAAAGAAAGTCAGTGAATTATACTATAGTTGTATTCTTTGTGTGGATTACTTTAACTACAATATTACTTGATAGTGCCAGGTAAAGAGACATGGGGAAATACTCCAGAGAGCAGCTATTTAGAACACTCCTCTCTATAATCTAATTTGTAGAAAATTGCACATTTTGGTTTTATAAGTTGGAAATAACTAGCTGTTCTTCCAAACATGCACATAATACAAATTGAGTTACCAGAAAACTAACCATAGTTAGTGTGTGATTGATGGAGAAGGAATGACTGCCTTCCCAGCTATAAAGTTCAATGAGAGGAAGGGAATGTAAAAGTACCAGACTCTAGAAATACTCAAGATGGGCTCAATTGAATTCAGTGTATCAAACATTTGTTAAATTCCTACTGATTTCCCAATACTGAGAAGTCAGTGTTATCTCTTAATAAGTCTGCTCAGTGGCAATTAGAGAGCCAGCTATAGTAGATGCCATTTTAGAGCTTAAGATTTCCAGAGAACTACCAGATCCTTGCAAATACAGGCTATAAGACATTCACTAAGGAGTACCTAATAGACATTCGTTCCAGTTACCTGAGAGAACAGGATGTTGAGTTTATTAAACTATTCTTGTTAATAAAATGTTACCATGTATGCCAATATGAATAACCAGTTTTGAATGATTTAAATGATAACTAAAGTGCAATAATCAATAAGACTAATTTTTTTATTTTTATATATTTTGATTGTATATATCGAGTATCTATTATGTATATACAACACTATACTAGATTGCATTAGGGATCATGAACAAATATTATCATAATAATAGTTGCCATTTATTAAGCATTTATTATTGACCAGGCACTGAACTAAGTATTTATGCATGTCAATTACATGAGGTTGGTACTATTACTGGTTTCATTTTACAAACGAGGAAATCCAGGCTTGGAAAGATTGAATACAATGTTCCAAATAGTGATTTTGACTACAGAAGCAATAGGAACTCTCAGAAAAGACCAACCAAGGTACACTCTTCAGAGAAGTGCTTAGCTAAAGATGGGCTTCAGATGCTCAGCAGCCATGGTTTATGCTATAGACTTTTAAGGGTCATGAAATTAAAAATAGAAAATAGAAATATGGGGAACCAACATATGATCACAATTTTTATGTGTGATTATATGCAGTTGTTTTTTTTACACAAGTGTGTCAGATATTAATTTAACAGGACCAGCTTGCTCTGGTTCTTGATTTTGATTGTCTTTCATACAGTATGCTAATCAAAGTGGAGAAACTCTAAAGCTATTACTGATTTCCCGTGGGAAACAGAGAAGCTGGAAACAGTAGCAGACTAGGTAAGTGGTTGTAATCCAGGTATGAGATGATGACTGATTAAAATGGTGGCATCTCCATTCATTCATTCCTTTAACTAATATTGACTGAATACCTGTGCTGTGTTAGCCTTTATGTAAGGTGATGGAAATGTAAAACAGCCATGATCTCTGTTCTCTTGGAGACTAGTGGAAGCCATGGATTAATTAAAGGAATAAATAACAAAATGAATTAAGTGCCCTGAAGAAAACATCAATTTTATGGGAGTCATAACACGAGAAACTAGACCTAGCGAGGATGTCAGGGCAGATGTCCAAGTGGAGGGGATGCTTCAGCTGACATGTGAAGGATGAGTAGGATAAAAATAGATGTGTTGAGGAGGAAGAAGAGAGAAAAGGAGAGCACACTGAGCAAAAGGAACTGCAAAGATCCTGATCAAAGTCTTTAAGGATAAAATGCAGAAAGCAAGAAGGAGAGCTGGTACGGTAAGGCTGAAGGGTCGGCTGAGAATGGACTATGCACAGGGCCTTGAAGCTCTTGGTTGACAGTTTTATAACTATTATTGAAGATATTGGTTCAATATCTGTCTTATGGATTCCATTGTTTCTGATGAGGTCATAAGTAATTCTAACCAGTGTTCTCCTATGTATAGCACAGTGTTTTTCTCTGCCAGCTTTCAAGATTTTCTTTTCATCATAGTTTGCCTGTGATAGATGTGAGGTTTTGTTTTGTTTTGTGTTTGTATTAATCTTGCTTGGTGTCCTATGATCTCGAATCTGTAAATGTATGTCTTTCACCACATATGGGAAAATTTCAGCTACTATTTCTTTAAATGTTTGTTTTATGCCTCAGACTTTCTCTCATTTCTTTTGGGGCTTCTTTTACATGTATGTTATACTTTTTGATGTGGTTTTGATATATCTGTTCACTTGTTCATTTTTTAAATTCATCTTTTCCCTTTTCTTCAGACTGAGTAATTTTTATTGTCCATCTTTATGTTTACTTACTCTCCTCCAATCAGCTGTTAAGCCTATCCAGTGAATTTTTATTTTTTATTTTTTTTTTAAATTTTTTTTAACGTTTATTTATTTTTGAGACAGAGAGAGACAGAGCATGAACGGGGGAGGGTCAGAGAGAGAGGGAGACACAGAATCTGAAACAGGCTCCAGGCTCCGAGATGTCAGCACAGAGCCCAATGCGGGGCTCAAACTCACGGACCTCGAGATCGTGACCTGAGCCTAAGTCGGACGCTCAACCGACTGAGCCACCCAGGCGCCCCTATCCAGTGAATTTTTAAATTTCAGATGCTGTAATTTTCAGTTTGGGAATTTTCATTTGGTTCTTTTTTTAGTTTCTACTTCTCTCTTGAGACTTACTATCTTTTCATTCTTTATGATGATTTTTATTTTATGATGAGTTTTTATTACATCCTCAAGCATACTTATTATAGCTGCTATAGAATAATGGATGCTTAATTCTAACACTCGGATCATCGAGGCTTGATCACCATTATCTTTTCACTTAAGAATGCATCATATTTTCCTGTTTCTTTGTATATAAAGTAATTTTGGACTATATCCTAGCCATTGTGAGTGATACATTGTAGAAATTATGGGTTCTTACATGTTTCTCTAAACAGTATTGTTTTGTTTTGTTTTGTTTTTCCAAGTAAGTACTTAACTAAATTCCCACTATAAAAGTCTATCTCCCTAGAGGTTGTAACAGCCCTTTCCCAATTCTTTTGGCATCATCTAGCAAGGCTGGAGTTTCTTCTATGCATGCATGATTCAAGCTTCACCAGAGATTTGAGCCAAAAATATAGATAGATTATACAGCTCTGCCTCTTCAGTTCTCTCCTCTCTTGAAACTTCCTCCTCACATTTAAGTAGCTGTGTTTCCCCCAAATCCTATAGCTCTTCAAATCAGCAAGTCTGTGGGTTTTCCATCAAAAACTTAGCTGGGAGCAGAGTAAGGTCTTTCTTCAGGCTTAAAGGCATTAAAAAACTAAAACAAAACAGAGAAAGTTAGCTAGTACCATTCTCTTCTTCCAAGTGTTGACTTCCAAGTGTTTAAATCTGCTTTTTTTCACCTGTCAGTTGCCCATAAGTAGGTTTTATTTACTGTTTTATCCAGAGTTTATAACAGTTATCTATGTGCCTTTTTTTTTTCTAATAGGAGATACTTACTATGCCAGAAGAGGAATGCTTGTAACTCTTGATAAAGAAGGTGGGGGGGGGGGAGATAAACAACAATGATATGATCAGATTAGCCCTTCAAAAAATATTTTAGATGTAGTGTGGAGAGGACACCAGAATGAATGGAGATGATCAGTTTAGAAACCACTGCTGAAGTTCATATGAAGGATGATGATAGGTTGGCCTAGGTGGTGGCAGTGGAGCCACAGCAAGGTGGTTGGGTTTGAGTGATTTCTTTAAGGTAACACTGATAGGACTTAGTTCATGGGTTGAGTATGTGGAGGGGGAAGCAAGGTAGAGAGAGGTATCAAGAAGGGATGACTTCTAGATTTTTGACTTGTGTTACTGGATGGACTGCATGCCATTCCTAAGAGAGTGAACCCTGGACAAAATTCAGAAATGCAATACAGAAAAGGGTGAGTTTGTGATATTTCAAAATAAGAAATGTATACAGAGGGTGGAGAATGACTCAGATATGGTTTCATTCCTCTAGGCTTAAGGAAAGACTAGAAAAATGGGACTACTGACAGAAATGAGGTTTAATGCCAAAATGATAGTGAACATATTTAATCTTTATTTAAATATTGAGAAGATCTTTTGGAATCTAGCAGTGTCTGGGTGTCACAGAAGAGCCTTAGGTCTATGGCTGGGATCATTATTTATCATAGTAATGGGCCTGTGGAAAAGTGCTGGTCAACCAGGAACTCTGGCTGGGAAAATGCCAGGAAAACCAGTTTTTGTACTACTCTTATCAAAGAAAGGACAGCACTATGGCGGAGCATTTCTCTGCCACAGATTCTGTTGCACCTTGACTAAATAACGTCCCTTGCTTATGTGGTGCTTCTCACCATAGAGTGTTTAACACAGGTATTTCCATGTTTCCAAACTAACTTTATCATAAAGGTTTCTTTAATGTTGTATTATTAGCAACAGAGCTATTAATCCAAAGCAGTTGGTTATCAATTGAATCAGTCTATGGCCTGAGTTTCCAAAGATGTAAAAAGGCAGACACTTTTCTGACAATTGCAGCACAGCAATTGTTTATTCTTTACAGGACAGAAGCACAAAATGATCACTTCATTATTCACATAATGTATTCAGTTGCCTTGGCAATAGGCATCATTTTTATTAGCAACCTCAGTGATTTTTACAATTGTTTCCCTTAGATGGGAATTAATTTTACATTTATTCTTCCATTATTTATGTTATTATAATCAACCTCAAATACTGATAAAAACTGTTAAGAGAGAAACCAAACAGACCTATCAACAAACAGAAAACAAACAAACAGATTGGCATGAATATATGACTAAATTTTGGGGGCGGTTAACACACGGGATTAGAAACTATTGCTACTCAGTGAGAAAAGCGGGGTTCTGTCATCATCTGAACTTTACTTTTGTCCTTTGTAAAATAAGAGTCCTAAGAAACATGATCTTAAGCTCCTTCCAGCTTTAGTTTTTAATCTTAACATATTTTCCTTCACAATATACCTTTGCCAGGTCTGTTCCTGCGTTATGCAAAGCCTGACTTCATTTCAGAAATGAGATTCCAAGTTTTGGACCCATTCATCACCAACCTACCTATCCATGAAAGCAGAGGTTTTTGTTTAGTGCTTACTAAGCACTAGAGAACTAACTTTAGCTTACATGCGAATTGGCCAGGCAGAAAATAAAGAGGTGAAGAGATCAACACACAAAATAATTACAGATTGTGCTAAGCAGTAGGAAGGAAATAAAAAAGGGCATTCTGCTAAAACCGCTGGAAGAGTACAAATGTAAACAAGTGGTCAAGAAAGACTTCTCTGAGGAAAGGCTGTTTAAGCTGAGATGTAATGCATGGAAAGGGCAAAAGAAGGTCATAAAGGTAAAATGAGAAGCAGGTGCAAAGGTCCTGAGAGGAGACGAAATAAGGTGTGGTAGCAACAAACTGAATGCAGAAGCAGATGTAAGAAAGGAGTAATCTATCAAACTAGATAGTAAAGAGATTTGCAAAAATGTAAACCAAGAGCATGCCTTTAAGCATAGTTTTATTACTGGTGAAAATAGTTATTTTTCAATAAAATTACGTCATGGGTTTATTCTTGTTCTTTTAAAATGAATTCATTTTAAAAGATTTTGAGGGTCTCCTGAGTGGCTCAGTCAGTAGGGCATCTAAGTTCGTCTCAGGTCATGATCTCAGGGTTACTGAGTTTGAGCCCATCATCAGGCTCACTGCTGTCAGCCCAGAGCCCGCTTGGGATCCTCTGCCCCCTCGCCCCCACCTCTCTCTGCTGTCCCAACCCAGCTTGTGCCCTCTCAAAAAATAAATATTTTAAAAAATAACAAAAGATTTCGGTGATGGTCAATATCAACAAAATAACCCACATAAACAAAAGTGCGGGGTCCTCACTTACCTAATGGGGTAAAGGAGTCCTGAGGCTGAAAGGTCTGAGAATCACTGGTCTAGGTCATTCCCGGTGTTGGATGAACTACCGCAACCGTTAGGGTCCCCAACTACTCACAGCTGTAAATACCCTCTCCTTGCCTCTCTCTCCTCACGGACCCCGGGTCCAGGAATGGTGAGGACTGGGGCGCCAAGCGTCTGCTTCCGTACTGGGGTGGGTCGGCCTGCACCCCTGGCCTCGGGATCCTCTCATGTCCCGACCCCCACCACCCTACATCCCGGTATCCAAGCCGGCCCGCCACCCCCGCCACGCCGGCCTTCCGCGCTACCCTTCCGCCCCCCCACCTCCTCCCCGTCCCTCCGCGTCGGCCCCCTACCAGCCAGGCAGGCGGTGGCGTCGATCCACTTGAGAAGCTGCCCCGCGCTCAGCTCGCCGCGCGGGTTGGCGTGCGCGGGCTGGATGGCCTGGCTCATGCGCACCTCGGCGGGCTCGGGGCGCTCCATAGCCGGGCCCGCCGCGAAGCCCCTGGGCTGAGGGCGTCGGGCCGAGCAGGTCAGCGCGGAAACCACGCTCGCTCCGCGCGGCACCGGCGCCGCAGCCCTGGGCCCGAGCCCCGCGCCCCGCGGGCCGCCAGGGCCCGTCCGGTGCACTGGCACGTGGGATTCGAGGTGCCGGGAATATCGCGAGGAGAGCGAAAGAGATCTCTCTTGGGTGTCAGAAGCCAAATCCGGGGCCACCAAGCTTGGCAAAGCTGGAAGCAGCCCGGATTTCTCAAGTGTAAAGGGAGGACAGCAGTACTTAGGTCAGAGGACTGTGGACAGAATTAAATGAAGTAATGTACGTAACTCAGCGTGTGCCTGGTTGAGGTAATACAGGTGTTTGCTAAGTAAATAAGTAGTGAGGATAACAGCCATCTGAAGAATTTGACAGACGGTGGGAGGTTAAGGATTGATTTGTTAAATGTTGTCCAGAGAATGCGGACATTTTGCTTTAGAAACTGATTTTAGAGTGTTTGACTACCTTTTCTTCCCCCTGGCTGTTGACTGCCAGGTAGAGTGGACCCTCACTCCTCAAGCCCTAGTTCAAAATACACCTTCTGGTTCTTAGGATGTTAAAATAGCTCCCCCAAACCCTTTGTTATTGATCAGTTTGTTGTGAAATTACCCCCACTGCCAAGCAAACACAAAGTGCTGATGTTTGCAGGGACATGAGAGTCACTCAACAAAGAAAGGCAATCTTTTGGTTTTAATCGAGAGAATTTAAGATTAGAAACTGTCGCCTCACTATTAATGATGCCAGCAAATCCCAAGAGACTCTTTTCAGGAGACAAAATCTAGAATATTAAATGAGAATTTTCATTCTCAGCTGTTAACACAAAGCAGCCATTACACTTTCTAGAGCTGAAATCAGTGACTTTACAAAGCAGTTCTCATTCAGGAAATAGAGACATCAGAAAACCTCCAGCATATGATAGATTCATAGTTATTGTATTGTTAGGGGTGGCTGCACCCAGGAGAGCATTTGCAGGTGAAGAAATGGAAGCCTGGAGAGATGAAGCAACATGTCAGACATAATAGGAACAGCTAAGAAAGTAGGAGCATGTGGCTTAAACTTGGGGCTCCTGATTGTCCAAAGTAGCTTACCACAAAACCTAATCGCTTTCAACAAATTGGTGATGCTTTCTCATTCCTTTACAGCCTGCTAAGCCCCAACCTAGAGACGTTGGAATTGTTTTTTTTTTTCTGTTTTTGCAAAGATCCATATTTCTTTTTTTTTTTCAATATATTGCTTTTCCTTTTAAAGATGTTTTGAGGGAGAGAGCCAAACCATAAGAGACTCTTAAAAATGAGGATAAACTGAGGATTGATGGGCGGTGGGAGGGGGAGGGTGGGGGATGGGCATTGAGGAGGGCAACCGTTGGGATGAGCACTGGGTGTTGTATGGAAACCAATCTGACAATAAATTTCATATTAAAAAAAATAACAGGGCTATAAAAATCTAAAAAAATATATGTTTTGAAAGAGGTTTCCGTCCCACATAAGCATACATACAAACTGGATGCATTGTTAGGCAAGAATTAAGTTTGGCTTTTATTTTTTTTTTTTAATTTTTTTTTTCAACGTTTATTTATTTTTGGGACAGAGAGAGACAGAGCATGAACGGGCGAGGGGCAGAGAGAGAGGGAGACACAGAATCGGAAACAGGCTCCAGACTCTGAGCCATCAGCCCAGAGCCCGACGCGGGGCTCGAACTCACGGACCGCGAGATCGTGACCTGGCTGAAGTCGGACGCTCAACCGACTGCGCCACCCAGGCGCCCCAAGTTTGGCTTTTATATAAAGCATAAAAATGACTTTTAATTGTTTATTTTAATGTTTTTATTTATTTTTGAGAGAAGGAGAGACAGAGCATGAGCACAGAAAGAGGCAGACTCTAGGCTCTGAACTGTCAGCATGGAGCCTGATGCGGGGCTGGAACTCGTGAACTGTGAGATCATGACCTGAGCCGAAGTTGGACAGATAAAAATGACTTTTTAAAACAAAGTCAAACCCATGCCTCCAAGATGGTCCTCATATGCAGTTGCATACTTGTTTCAATAACAGTGTTATTACTCGTATCACCCCTTCTTGGAAAATGCCTCTAGAGTTGTTAATGCCATTTTGGCAGACCACAGTATTCAGTACATATTCATTCTGTTCGCTGGTAACTTCACGGGAGGCACTTATTAATGTTGGGCTTTGGCCACATGACTTGCTTTGGAATGGAACACAGTGAGTTAAGGGGGTACCAGTTCCAAGCCTAGCCTTCAAAGCACCACATGTACCTGTTCTTGGGTATGTCTTACCTCTGCCATGGGAAGTTCATATGCCTGAGCGGCCTTCCATATCAGCATCTGGGTGCTATACTGGATCCACCTGTTGCAGAGCCAGGCACCCAACCTACAGACTTGCAGCATGAAGCTGAGCTACCCAGCAGGCACACACACTCATGAATGAGACATAACTACTTATTGTTGTTAGGTTCTGTGATTTGGGGATTATTTGTTGCACAGCCATAACTGACGGTTACGTGTATGAATTTCATGTATTAATATTTTAGGAAATGCCTGAAGTTACCAAAAATAAGGTTTTTGTCCTGTTGGTTTATTTTGCATTAAAAAATGGCGACTAAAGTGGTAATATTATATATGTGTTCATTTCTTTGGTTTCTTGTAAACTAGAGGGATTTCAAACTGTTTTAAGCATAGGTGTAAGAAGGTAGCTTTCCAAAGGGACTATCGGAGGCAGGCAGCTTGTATCTGCATATGTATGTGAAGGGATGTTTGATCCAAAAGCAGACAAGTTCACACACTCACTATTGTGTTTTCTATGTGTATTATCTCCTATTTAGATGTCCTTTGATTATGGTTTCATATCTTTTGTTGGTTTCTCACTGATTTTTGTTTTCAGCCTCTGCCTGAAACTACTATTCTTATGTTTTTCTGAATGGTCTCTTTTTCTCCCACACAATGAAAATGTCATCTGCATGTGTGAACATTTGCTGTATCCTTTATCTGTCAAGGATTTTTGCTATTATGTTTAAAGAAAAGGCTTCCATTTTCCATTTCTGTTTAGAGCCATCTTTTGAAGATGAGCAGAATGTGAAGCCAGCTTGATTTTAAAAGGTCATGCACAAGAGCAGGAAAGCAGATCGGGAGGAGTGTGGAAAGTATGATAATAACTAGAATAAAGAGAACTTGTTTAGAATTTTGGAGTAGGAAGGAAACTAGACAGTCTAACCCCCTCATTCTGGAGATGAGGAAATGAAGTGTTTGCCCTGGGTCAGCCTTTTAGAGGTAGAGGTCAGCCTTTTAGAAAACTGAGAACAAGGGACATAAAATATAAGAAGAGAGATGGAACAAAGTGCTTCCCCTGAAGCACACCCTCCAACAAGAATTTGAAAGCAAACAGTTTATTTGGGAGGAAACTGCAGAGGGCATTAATAGGGGAATCAAAGTGTGGTCCCCAGACGAGCAGCATGGGAACTGCCTGGGAGCTTGTTAGAAATGCAGAATCTCAGGCTTCATCCCAGACCTGCTGAATCAGAATCTGAAATTTATTAAGACTCTCACGTGAGTCATAAGCACATTAAAGTTTGTGAAGAACAGCCTAAGTTACCCCTTCTGGAGAAAGGGGAGCTGGAGGATAAAGACTTCATTGACTAAGGGCTGCTCTAGGGAGCATTAACTCCCCAGCACTTATGCTGACTGCAGGGCAAGGGCGCTCAGAGCATTGCATCAGTAGGCATTAAGACACTGTCAGTGTGTACTGGGCACTGGCATAGTGGGTGCTGAGGGAATTCACGCAAGGCACAGAAAGCCATGATACTTACACTGTGCTGAATATCAGAGGCAGCTGGGAGTCTTTTCATTTTAGGAGACGAATCCCAGGCAGAAAGTTTGGTAACTCAAAGAATTTCATATGGAGATGAACTTTATTAGTTATCAGACTCGATTCTACCTTTGGTATGTTATGCATGGTGTCAGGCCAATGTTTTCAAGTTCAAATTTCAGTTATAAGGATGCAGTTCAAAGCTTAAACACAGAGTTCCTAAGCAAAAATTCCAGAATGGGCTTTCTTATATTTCGGTTGCCAACTTTTTCCAGGGTCTCTTCCTCTTCTTCACTCCTGGACTCTGCTCTTGGGATCAGTCTCCCCTTGGGGCCATTGGACTGTCCCATTTAGCACCTGGGGCCTCAAGCCAACCTTTCTCCTGTTTGTCCCTGTGCTTCCAGTGGCCCCAGCTCTCAGAGAGACAAGCATTAGGTGTGAAACCTGGGAGTCACCTATGCATGTGGAGTGTAGCACTTTATTTTGTTTGAACACAAGCCGTGTACATACAGACTAATTTTTTCACTCCTCCAAAATTGCTAGGCCCCACCTACATCCTAGGCACTGCTTAGTGGAGTCCCCTGGATGCCACCAACACTACCTGTCAATATGGGGGACTGCAGTGATTGTTTTCAAATATTGAACCAGGCTCTCATCCTAGAATAAATCCGTCTTGGTCATGGTGTATAATTCTTTTTATATACTGCCAAATTCTGTTTCCTAACATTTTGTTAAGGGTTTTTGTATCTATATTTTTGATACTGGTCTATAGTTTGTTTACTCTCTCTCGCTTGCTTGCTACTGTCTTTGTCTGGTTTTGATGTTACATTCATAAAGTGAATCAGGAAGCATTCCCTCTATATTCTGGAAGACATTGTGCAGATTTGGTGTTCTTTATATGTTTTCTAGAATTCTCCAGTGAAACCATCTGAATGCTGGAGATTTTTTTTGATAGGTTTCTAAACTATAAATTCAAATTTTATAAATAGTTTTAGAGCTACTCGACTTAATGTTATTTGGTATGGGTTGAGTTTTGGTATTTTGTGGCTTTAGAGGAATTGGCCTGTTTTGTCTCAGAGACAAAGGTAAAGACTGAGCTAACATCTGATGGCAGAGCCCTCCCATCTCTTCTTAGCCCCTGAAGCTGACCTTCCTTTGCCTCTAGGTTCACTCATATCCTTCAATCTCCTGCCCTCAGCATTTCCTTGCTTTCTAAGCTGACTCTCAACTAATTCCCTCCCTGGCAGTTGTTCTCTGGCAAAATTCTCTGGCCCTTCCCAGACATGCTGAATACATACTGAATACAATACTGAATACTGAATTAGAAACTGTGGAGTGGGGGCAATAACCTGCGTTTGAACAAAAATTGCATGTGATTCTGTTGCACACTAATGTTTGCTTTTGTCTTTTGTCAAGGAGATAGAACTTTCATCGCAATCTTTTCCCGAGCATGTATTCAGTTTAACAAGAGCCCTTTACAA